AGATTTGTTTAGTAGGATGTGATCGTCTTGGTTCTTAATTTCTTGATATATGATACAATCGTCAGCGAATAATCTTATGTTAACATCAATGCCATCGGCTATGTCATTTATGAAAAGTAGAAATAAAAATGGAGCTAAAACGGAACCTTGTGGGACGCCGGATACTACTGCAACTGGTCGCGTACTTTGTCCCTCGTGATAAACAAATTGGAAACGATTTTTTAAGTAGTCTTCAATCCATGCAATTATCGGTCCTTCGCCCATAACATGTTTAAGTTTTATTATCAGTTTGTTGTGGGAAACGCGATCAAACGCTTTCGAGAGATCCAAGAACACTGCATCTACCTGACTTCTGTTGTTTATGCCCATCGTGAAATCGTGAAGAATCTCAATTAGCTGTGTAACGGTCGATAGTCCACTTCTAAAACCATGCTGATGTGGGAATAAGATATTGTTATTTTCTACAAATGATGTCATGACTTCATGTTCCAAGTTATTAAGGCCAGCACAAAAATGAAGTGACAAATAATGTCACCTAATTTGAAGCAATGTGCATACTAAATGCAGAGGTACTTAACACAATTTTGCAGTGCTTAAATCTGTAGAGAAGTCAATTTATACTCACAGGTTCCAGATGATTCAGAATAGCCAACAGACGAAGATGGAGTGCTGTGGTCCAAAAGCTGGCCAGGAGAGCTGGCCATCCCCATTTGCTCTGGAAAATGTGTCACTGTTAAATACGAATGTTTGCATAAACCCAATTTGTGTAGGAGATTTATTTTACCACAGGCCGCTATGGAATGTGACGCGCTGGTACCCTCCAGTGAAATACCACAGGGGCTTGTCGCCATCGGTTGTTCTGAAAAACGGTTGCTTGTCAGATATGAGCAGCTGTTTTAAAAGAAATGATCTCACCATGAACAGCTGCCAAGGGTGACGTTCCGCTGCTTTCCATTGGAACATTCCCTGGGCTTGGTGCCGCCATCGGCCCTTCTGAACGACATTTGCTTGTCAGGTATGAGCCCCTGTTTTAAAATAAATGATCTCACCACGAGCAGCTGTTGAAGGTGACATTCCACTGCCCTCCAAGGGAACATTACCGGGGCTTGGTGCCGCCAGCGGTTGTTCTGAAAAACGGTTGCTTGTCAGATATGAGCAGCAGTTTTAAAAGAAATGATCTCACTATGAGCAGCTGCCAAAGGTGACGTTCCACTACCCTCCAATGGAACATTCCCGGGGCTTGGTGCCACCATCGGTCCTTCTGAAAGATGTTTGCTTGTCAGGTATGAGCCCCTGTTTTAAAATAAATGATCTCACCATGAGCAGCTGTTGAAGGCGACGTTCTGCTGCCCTCCAATCGAACATCCCCGGGGCTTGGTTCCGCTATTGGCTTTTCTGAAAAGGGCTTCCTTGTCAGATATGAGCCGCCAATTAAAAATAAATAATCTCACCATAAGCTGCTGTGGGATGCGACATTCTGTTTCCCTCCAATGGAACGTCACAGGGGCATGTTGATGCCACCGGTTCTTCTGAAAAATTTTGGCTTCTCAGATATGAATACTTGCTTATAAAGCTTCTGATGGAGAATTCCTGCTACAGGCGAATGATAGGTTAGTAGTGTTACCTTTCAAAGGAACAGAAAATATTCAGCACTCTGAAAGGGCATTGAAATCCCTTAGTGATGAAAATTAATGTTGAGCAATATTAATCAATGGCGAAACACAGGATCCGGCGGGTCTTGAAAAGGCACTTAGGAATCTCGGAATATCTTAAATTTTAACGGCCCGGTATGCTAATGTATGAGAACATAACAGCATGGGCAACTAAAGCTAACCTTGTAAACATGAGTGTCAGGAAGATGACTCAGACGGCATGAGTCCTCTTGTCGAATTGGATATGAACAGGGGAACGTTGACCTGCCTTATCTTTCATTTATATCACTATTGTATGCTACAAACCTAGGATGCCCTGTAAGAAGTCATACTGCACTGGCAGAACTGCCCTTCTTGATTGCAGGACACAAATTACTTTATTTCAATGCAGCTGACCTTGTGCTTTAAAACAATTTTCCAACAAACTGGGACGGATATTGGTTATGGGCAACAGTATGCGCAGGGACATTACAGGGATAATGTACAAAAATGCTAAATGAATTAGATAAAATATTTAAGCACAAACTAATAATAAAAACTAATTAAATCAGATTAAAACTTTTGAGACTGTCAAGCATCGTTGACAGCATGCTGGCAGCTGGCATCAGTGACGTAGAGTTGGTGCTGCCTAAAAGCAAAATATAACAGAACTCCGTACAGATTGCAAATAAAGATTATGTTACCTTGGGCTGTTACAGATGGCCTAAGCATTTGCGGCCGAACCGTAGGGATAGCCGTTTTGGTCAGCCTTGTCTTCCCAGGATCCAAAAAGTCCTTGGCTGTGAAATGCTCACTACACAGGCGATACCCCTCATAGAGCTCCTTGGCTGTCTTTCCTAGGAGCTCAGGACGTCTGGCGTACTGTAGCCATGCTTTTGACCTGCAGAACATTGTATATACCACCAAGGTTACACATACTGTAAGGGTCAAATAAACTCCAAATATATGAGCCTCAATTGTTTTTAATGTTTCACTGCCGTTTGGTATGGCACCTCTCAGCAAAGTGCTCACGTTCTGAAGAGTTTGTTTTTCTTCTTCATGCTACTGTACAGTGCAATACAGCTAAACAAACAGATTGCATACCCACCAGGGTATGCAATCAATTTAGGCCCGAGGCAAGATAACCTTAAAATGCTGAAAGATATTGGTGTCCATAAACCAAAGTGACATGGAAGAAATCGTTTTTGCTATAGTTTGTTGCAACCTAAGACCGAAGGGCGAGGGTAAGACGGGCCGGGGAGGAGGGAGCAGACGGAACGCTGGAGAAGAAAGGGGAAACCTCCTTCTCTCCTTAGCGTTTCGTGTTCCGTCTGCTTCCTCCTCCCCGGCCCGTCTTACCCTCGCCCTTCGTTCTTAGGTTGCAACGGACCATAGTTCTCATTTCAAAATGTTATGCTTCGATCAAATGTTGTAAGGACTGCCTTAGAATCTATACGTACCTTGGGTCACGTGGAATTCGAAAAAACTTGACATGTGGCTTCTTTGTTTTCCCATTGTTGGCACACCAGACCACGCAGCAGTAACTTCCGTAGGACATAATCTGGGCCAGCGGGGGAGGGAGAGTTTAACATCTACTGAAGCCTAGCCAATGGCGCGTTCCTTTAGTTCAACGGAAGGTAGCACAATAGCGGCTGATGAAAAAATAAACTGATGGAGATTTAAACAATGTCACAAGATATTGCCATGACGCAATGTTACAATAAACCCATGACACGTATTAACACAGACGGGTGAAAGAAATATTGTGAAGTTTGTGAAGTTTACGCAATCTTCATGCATCATAATCGAACGCAGTGTCTAGAGTGCCATGCCACAGCACTCCAACCAAGTGTTCAAGTGACGTCTGACTGGTTTTACCCAACGTTCGAATGTCATCCTTAAGAGTAAAACAGGAATTTAAGCATAGTACAGCGGTACGGCCAAAATAAGTAAGACTAATCTACCTCTACTGTTTCTGGTAAATTGGCCGTCAATATTTTGAATTTTGCTTTCTTACATAGAAAATAATGTCAGCGAACCATAGACCTAAATTTCGAGCTCCATTTGGTGATGTAGCGATGTAGTGGGAACCATGTTTGAATAGTCCTCCGTACATTCTCAGAGTGTCCAAAAGTTCCATGGATGTCCTATCCTGGATGTCCCGTGGACGTCCATAGGATATATATGCTGCTTGGGAACTTTATTAAATATCTAAATTTGATACTGCGTCTCGCAGTTTTTTCCCCCGAAATTCTATGCATGTGTTTGTCGTCGTAACTGCTGCATACTGCAGCTCGTATGGCGGTACACACAAGTCATGTAGCTCGCTTGAGCGACGTTCGCTGGTTCGCTTCTTTTGCACGTACTTTATGTGATAAATCAAAGCAGCGACGCGCCATTGAAAGAATGCATGTCAAAATATCAATATGACTCAATGGACACCTTGCCCCGAATTCGTCGCACTGCGAACGACTGTCGACCCAGCTTTAGTCAGTGAATTAACTTCAATCTATGACGGCATAAGTCCTCTCAACAGCAATCCACAGATGTCTGATGGCACTTGAACACGCATGAACAAAGCTCTGCCCGAGGGGCGTCGGACGGCAACCCAGACTCAGCAAATTCAAAAGCCAGCTTTACAACACAGTCGAGAGACAAATGAGCAAAACGACTTACCTTTTGTTTAAAAATCTAGGTCCAGGCAGCCCGACGGAAACACGAGAAGCTCAAGCCATATCAAGCCGCTCAGCTCTACAAACTCACGCCGAGCATGAGAGCACGCTTCGGTCATTCGTCACTTTGTTTCAAGCAAAGTCGACCGAACACGCTGTAGCATAAAACGGAGAAGAACGGCACGGACGGCACGGACGGTACGGCACGGACGAACGAAGCACGGACCGCTCGGACGAGCAGAGGTGACGGCGTGCAAGCAGACAGGCCATGGCAGGCGCCATTCATCACGTGGTTTTTGTGACGTATTTGATTAACACTATTTAGTCGTTTTAAGTACTTTAAAAAACTCTAAAGCATAAAAATTTAGAAAATAAATACTTTTCAGAGAGAAAGCTGTAATTAATATTAACCAAATTACGGAAAAGCGCCACGTAGCGGAGGGTATGAATCCTACTATCTGGGCCGCGAATCGGCTTCAGTGTCCTCTCTTTACGTTTACTATATTACTCTATGGTGAAACCAAGTAGTTGACGTCATTAGGGTGATTGGGGTAACATGGGGGTTGTAGACACGGACACGGATGGATCCCAACGTGACTGGATGGATCCATACACGGCAGAGCCGTATATTGGGAGCCGTATATCCGTGTATCAGAGCCGTCTGATACACGGATCACACCACAGTGCATCCACAGTGGATCACACCAACCTTAGATGACACCGAATATTCGAACGCATCCGCAGAGCCACTTGCAGAAGCGCGAGCGAGGCGCTGCTAACGTTGGGCGCTGCGGCGCTGCGGGCGCTGCACTTGCACGTTTTCCTCTGCATAGAGAGGGCATCGTTGTCGCGCGCTCTTTGCCATCTTGTCCCGCCCGTGATAGTTTGCCTTTAGTTTTGTTTTTAGCGCAGTGCCTCTGACTGCTGTCGTGAGTCCGCTTCGCTTTGTTAATTAACAGCTGTCAACTTTACGCCTGATCATTGAACCCACGTAGCGGCAGAGGTAAGCACGTCGGGCCGTCGTCGTCCGCGACGAAGTCGACGCGCTGCGCTCTCGGAGAATTCCCGAGCCTACTGTTTACATTTGACGTCGCTCGATCTTTCGCCTGCTCTACAAAGTCAGCGGCTTCAGCAGGCGCCACCGACGTAGATGTGGTTAACGGGCTGCTCGCCTCGCTGAAGAAACATGCCTCCGAAATCGCGGAAGATCGCTATTATGGGATTCCGATCTGTCGGTGAGTTCTTTTTAAGCCTAAACAACTCCGTCTTATCGTGGTCGAGGTTACTTGAACTTGGCACAGTTTGCCAGATTTTCCTCTATGCGTCATCGTCGCGTTAAGTATGAATTGTTCACTGCTGCTTTGAACGGGGGCTCCCGTTGATAAACTGCAAAGGGCAGATCGTCGTCGCCTGAGGAATGTTCAAGGAGCGATACGGCGATTAGCGCTCTTTCCGCCTCTGAAGCGGCCAGATAAGAATATCGTTTTAATACCAGACTCGACTCTTAATTTTTATTTTTGTGTATGTGTGTGAGTGCGCGTTTGTTTTGCAATGTGCGGGCGGCCCGCTCGGTTACATCTGCTCGAGTGAAACCTGAAACACTCTTTTATCCAAAAAGCACAAAAAAAACAAGTTGATTTTTGCAAGTCATGCACTGCGGTTGTCTTGTCTCTCCACCTGCCGTCTTATACTCCTGCGAATGAGAAGTCACTTTGTGATCAGCACGAATGAACGTAACCTTCGCTTTCTTTTCTTTTTTCTTTTTTTTCTTTTTCAGGAAAATCGTCACTGACTATCCAGTTTGTGGAGAACCAGTTCGTGGATTCATACGACCCCACCATTGAAAATAGTAGGTCTACGACGATGTAGGAGATTTTTCGCCGTTGTCACTTGGGTCTGCCGTTCATATAGTTGGGTCCTGCACTACAGAGTGCATACCTTCAGACATGTCATTTTTAGTAGCGGTGTAAGGGCTCATTTACACAGGAGCGTTTGCTTACATATTCTTGCGTTACGCTATAAGTCACCTGGGCATCCATACTTTGTATGCCCTGCGAAAAGCTACTTCTTGAACTGATTGCCACACTTCATACAAGACACGGATGTCCCAGCGACTTGCGGCAGAGCAGACATGAGCTTGCGGAACGTAAAGGAATGGAGCTGTGCGAGCCAGCCTTAACTGGCATAATTAGCAAGGTAGTGCCGTGTTGTGCATTCGTCCCACTCTGAATGTGCCTCATGGCTGCCACCTAAATTTTACAGCTTTCCACAAGACCATGAAAGTCAAGGGGCAGGAATATCAGCTGAAGCTTGTCGACACTGCAGGGCAGGTGAGTGATGCTCCTTCTGGTCCCTCCACCTCTTTCTGAACAGGGTGTCTTGCCGGACTTCCAGCGTAAAGTCTGCCTAAGGGTTGGGATGCCCGAAAAAAGTGGGACGCAAGGCCATGCAAATTTTCGCAAAATGTTTTAACACCCACTTCGGAAGACAATTTGTAAAAAAGTAATAAAAAGAAAAGAAAGAAAAAAAATTCTGAACGTGCCCCAGAGGTTATATCACGACCCCATAATGGCAAGCTCAACATTCTGCCGCTGCACCAACTGGTGAGCAGACACAAAGCTACCCGACTTTGTCCGTACCACGGTGGTCTCTACTAACTGCTTCAACGGCGACAGCCGAACGCTGGTATTCGGCGCTCATGTTTGAACAGCTTGCGCGAAAAAAAAAGGGATCTAAGATGTTCTCACCGTCACATGAAAAAGGACAGAAATCGGAATAGAAAACATGCCATTACCAACGTCTGCCACAAATTCTAAAGAACACAATGGAAACATGTTTTGTGTGTCCCGACTTATTTCATAGGATTGAAATACATCAAACAAGTGTTTTCGCAAATTTGCACTTTTTTTCCCCCACTTTTTAGTGTTAACAGGACTGCTATATCTCCGACCAAAATGGCCCCTCCCTGCCTGTAGAGAATTCTGGTGTTTTTTGCCATACTGCGTTTCGCTTTTCGATGAACTGCGTTGGAGGCCACGGGCCATCTAAGCCAATAGACCGATCTCACCAAGCGTTGGGTGCACGCGTCACGCTGCCATAACTTTAGTTCGCATGAGACAGGCAGCAGTGCACAAGACAGCTCATGCCGCCTCATGCTCTACACGCGCAGAGCTCCAGCGAAGTTGGTGAGATCGGTCTATTAAATGCTGCGGACGTGTCACGTGACTGCGTGCCCTGCGCATCCCTGTGCCCCTCCCAGGAGTCATGTGACATTCGCACGACATTAGACCGATTCCGATGGCTCAACGCATCTGCTGCAATTTATTGCCAGGTGGAATGGAGCACAGAAAAGAACTCCTGCTTAGTCCTCATTTTAAACAAACCTGCATGGGTAGCAGAGAGGGAGGAGAATAAAAGAGGCCAGAGCTTCATTCATTTTCTACTCCAAGAGTGTGGGAGGGGAGGGGAGAGCAAATTTTTTTTGAGAAAAGGCGCAAAATGGGGAGAGGAGGGCGCGAGCAAAAGTGGGGTAGCACTGAGTGTCCTTTGGTTCGTACATGCTGACAGGCAGCTTTTACACTACTTCACATTCTCCCGACCGCAGCGGATCGCTAAATCAAATCCAAGGTCTGCGTTGAGCTCTGCTGACCTTAGCTTTTGTGTATATTGGGGATTGTTTTGTCCCAAGAAGGTCGTACAAAAGAGGCTCGATTCAGCTTCCTTTGACGAGTGCAAGAAGAGCCTGAAAATATGTCGGGACAGTCCAGTAAACTAGGAATGCGTTACTCCCAATACAAACCTTCCACTGACGGCAGTTTAGCTGCTTCCTTCTTGCCTTACTACATTTTACATTCTCTGAAAATGGACAAGTGACTGACAAAAGCTGCCTTCATGGCTCCTTTCCTTTTTTTTTTCACGCCTCCTGGCAGGGGCACTCCTGTAGCTGTCGTACAAAAATGCCAATGATATTGTATGCATCATTTTTCATGCACTAAACCAGCTGTTAATACTACATGCTAGTAGATGGAAAGACCATAACAATATGAAATGCGCTTTATTCCCACTACAGTTGGTTACAGGTCAAAGAAGGTAGCAGAAAATGCCCCTCAAGGGATTCATATATCCCTCCGCCACCTCCGCATCCAATAGCGTCCCATTGTTTGTAAATATTTGCCTCGCGTTGTGGAAGCCATGGGAGGGAGCTTAGACTTTTCCCTCTCCAATGGAAACAAATATGACTTTCGGGTGTTAGGTTCCCCCTCTGATGGATATAAATGCTAATTTCAGGGGCTGGGTTCCCTCTCCGATGAAGACAAAGGTGACTTTCTTAAAAAACGGGGGTTGGAGACAAGTCAGCATTACTCGGTAGCAAATGTTTATCCATTGAAGCGGAACAAGGGGCGTTTCCAGTGAACTCTTCTTTCGACTGCGGAGAGATTTGAAACGGGTGCATCACGCTTGTGGGAGGAGCTTCTCTTACCTTCTTTACTTGTAACCGACTATAGATGGTGCCAAAGCAGTTTTCTCCCAGACACTGGTCATTGCACCCGGAGAAAATGGGTCATTACGCCAGGGGAAAAATTGACAATGGGTACCTTGCTCAGCTTGTTTTGTGACCATTGCAATATAAATAAAATAACTGGCATGTGTTTTTATTTTTTTTTCAGGACGAGTACTCTATATTCCCGCAGTCTTACTCTATGGACATCCATGGATACGTCCTCGTGTACTCCATCAACTCCACAAAAAGGTCTGACTCGACCATTGAACATCTGTTTGCACGCGGCGAAAGATTCTAATGCCCCTCTTTTTCTCGTCCACCCCAGCTTCGAAGTGGTCAGGGCTCTCTACGAGAAGCTTCTCGACATGACCGGCAAAGTCCAGTGAGTGACTCGGCTCGAACACGCCACTCAATATAAGAATACGTAGCTCCACATGTAGGATGGGTAGCTATAAATGTGGAAATGTGTTCTTATTCGCTATAGTGCGCTCGATTCTTCACCGTGCTGCATCGCTAGGTCATAAAATTTCAGAATGTTTCATGCCGGCCTAAACATTACAAACAGTCCTGTCTTGAGGTAGAACTAATTTTATCTAGCCTTTAGAGCTTTTTGTGTTTGTGAAGCTTTGGTTAATCCTAGCTTCATCCTAAAAACGAATATCTGCTCTTGAATTTGCTTTTAAGTATAGTCACAAAGGCTAAAGAGGGAGAGTCAATGCCCTCTTGTTTAGTTCAGGGGTGTGACATCTGTGCCAATTGCGCCATTTTGATACAAACCCAATTTTCTGCGCCTAGTTGCGCCACAAACGTGAAATCGGTCTAAATTGCGCCACACCACGCCAAATTAACCCAGAAACGAAAAAAAAGTTTACGGCGATGCTAGATTTAGCGGGAAACGAGCTTGTTCGGCGACATTCAATCTCGTCGTAGTAAAGTACACGCCACGGGTACAGGGTGGCGCAAGCAATCGCCGGATTCAATGATTTCAGCTGTAGTACCCTTCTATACCTATGACACGTGGTCTTTTCCCGATTTTGGTACTACTTTCCGCTGTCATTTGTGGCTGGACGCTAACGGTGCGCTGTCACGTGGTCTCACTGTCTGGCCGCGGGAGGTATGATGCACAGGCTATCAAGATGAGCAAACCTAAGCATTTCGTTTTGAGAGTAAACCTTTTTTTAAAAGTGCTATTGAGCGTGCCCCCATTGTGTAATTGTTCATTCGTGTCCGTAATCTCGTCAATATGGACGGCGCCGTCGCCGTGAGTACTTACGGTTATCACACACGTGCTTCTAGTGCGTGAGCAACCGAGTGAATTGGTCATACACCCGTATTTAGCCTGCATGTGGTGCTCTTAGTTTTTCAACCAATTCGCTATTTACCTTGGGACTCACTTTGGTGAGGAGTTTTTTTTTCTCTCTGCACGTGCTTTCTATAAGCCTCCGATCTATGTCTGATTGAAGTAAACTGTGCTTCTCTGTTCGTGCTCTCGAATCACCGCTTTAAAAAGTTTTGCACTACAATTGCGCTTTGGCACCAGTTCGTATAAGCTTGAGGTACCTGGTGCCCACCTAAGTTTGCAGCAAGCCTGTGTTTCCTGTTCTCATCTATGCGCATGAAACTCGCGTTTGCCTTGTGCGTATCGGCGCTGGTGACTTATTGGAACCAAAATGAAGAAAAATAATGATAAAAAAAAAAATCTGATTTATATCAGATTTTTTTATGATTTAAATCACTGATAGGCTGCTCTAACGTTTTCTGCTCCTAATCTGCTCCTAATCTGCTCCAAACTGTCGACGTTGCTCCAAAATGCTTAAACTGCTGCTCCAAAACGAGAATTTTGTGCTCCTAAGCTGCTCCAAAATCCAGATTTTTCTGCTCCAAAAAATGTTCCAAAACCTGTTTCACGTGTCTCACCCCTGTAAGTTGTAAAGCCCATAACTGGAAACATTGGCCTTAGTCAAATCAACCTATGCCAAATTCAAGCTTGTTTAATTTAAATTTCGCTCTGAATGAGTAAAATTCAGGCGTTCTTTTTTCTGAAGTTTTGTGGTACATGAGATCCAGAGATGGTGAGTTTTGATTATATTCCATTAGTCATTACCATTCTTTGAGTATGGTGCCTGGAATGTTGGCTGGTGTGTCAATTACGTGCAACAGGAGCCCTTTGCTGCTAGCAAATAACCCATAAAGTTATGCCGTCACAGTGGTTCATGTTACATCACTGTCTTCATTCAAGGACTTTGATAGCACAGTGTGTAGCTATAACCGCAGTGAGGCACTAACAATGGGCAGAACGCCATTTCGTCGTTAGTATTTAGCAACGTAAAGAGGAATTCCTGAGGATACAAGAGATTGCAATAGACCGTGTAGGAAAGTACAAATATCTGAGAGTCTGGTTCAATGAGGGAAGGAAATATCTAGAGGAACACAAGGAAAATATAATTAGAAAGGAGAAAAAAAATTAATTTATTATGAAGCTCAAGGCACTATGGTACTATAAAGATATGAAGTGGTCAGAGGTAGGGTGCCTTCATGTGCGCTTCGCATAGAGTGATGCCAACTGCCTGTTTCCCTTTCCTACACCCCCTTCCACCGCCATTTTGTTCCTCTCATTGTTTCCCCTTGCGCCGGAAAGTGGCTTTTGTGTCCATCGGTTCTCCCATCCGAGGGGGAAAATGCTAATCCTCCCTCCGTGGGTTCCACAACGCTGCTCCGAACTTGTGAGGTAAGGTGCTTGTTTCCGGGAAAGTTATAAGCCCCACGGATTATCGCCGAGAACCAAAATGGCTGCTGGTTTGTCGGCGAGTGGTATTACAAAGGGTGGCATCACCCTAGCAAAGCGCACATGAAGGCTCCCTAGTCAGATGTATATGGAAAGGAGTGGTGGTACCAGGACTGTCTTTTGGCATTTGACTACTGTGCATGAAATCGGAGGTTCAATCAGGATTAGAAATTCAACAAAGAAGCGTAGGCAGATTGGTACCGGGAGCACATGCAAACGACACCAAATGAAGGTGTACGAGGGGACATGGGCTGGTCGTCTTTTGAGAGCAGGGAGGCAATTAGTTGAAATTTGAACAAAGGTTGACCGAAATGGATGATATGTGGTGGGAACGGAAGGTATTCAAGTATTTATACACGAAAAGTTTAAACACAAAATGAACACACCGAACCTGAAAGCTTACATCTAAATACCTACACACTAGTGATGGGGTTGAACAGACTGCTTAGTGAAAAAGGAAGTGAAAGAGGCAGAAAGAAAAACGTGGAAGGTTAGAATGCAGGAAAACCCAGCTGTAACAATGTGCAGGTCACAAAGACAGGACATAAGAAAGGAAAATGTGTTTGACAATTCACTGGGAAGTTCCTTACTGTTTGAGGTGAGAACCAGTTTTGAGGATGAAAACATAGATAAGGCTAAGTTTTAGGAGACTGACACATTGTGTGCTGCCTGCCATAATGAGTGAGCCCTTGGTTTTGAAGTGCATGGGGCTTCGCCCTGCCCTTTTTGAAGAGGTAATATATTTGGCCGGGGCCCTAGGTTTTGCTGGCGATAGTGGAAGTACGGAAGAGAAGAGGATCACAGTCACAAAGAGGCGATTAGAAGATTGGTGGAAATTATCTAGGGAAAATTGAGTGATGCACAACTAGCACAGCTGGGGACAGGCAGGACAGAGGAAAATTGGGACTCCCTCCCGCTTGGCTCTGGCCCAAACTCTCAGTCCTGTCCCCCAGTGGGTCCGGTGCTGGAATGACGCCGATGAGGTTTGACCTGAGGGAAATTGGTAACTCCCTTGCTGGGGCGGAAGAGGCGGAGGGTGATGTTTTCTAGTTTATTTTTTTTGCCCGGTCCCCCAAAGGTCATCCTGGTGATATTCCACATTGTCTGGTGATAGCTAGGTGGAGAAAATTGGCTTAGAAGGGTGGGACAAATCATATGGTTGTCTTTTTAGACTTAGGCTAGGTGGTGCAAGCTATTGACCGTTACAAAGGGTATTAGCCCCGAGAGCGAGCACAAGCGTCGCTGCGGTCGCCGCGCCCTGATTGGGTGAGGCGTACCGTGACGTCAGGGCGATGACTCCGCTCCGCGATGACGCATCGGCTCGCTTCCCAGCACCGGTTTCCTGGTTTGGCGTTGTGTGCCGCAAGCTCTTCGAGGAGCTGGACTTCATTTACCCGGTGTACAAGACGTTGAGTTAGGCCGATATTGACATGCTTCCGTACATTTTATAAGCCTGCTCGTCCCTTTTATCTTTACAATTGGGTTACAAATCCTGAAACCTCCCCGTCCGTCCATACGACACAAGGCAATTTTGCGAGGGATCGGTGAAACGGTGGCGCAGGTGTTTCAGACGCTGGAATTCTGTTCCTTGCATGTTCACGATTTAGAACGATATTACAACCCCCTTTCAAGGCATTTGAAGTGGCATATATATCCTGGGCCTTTGGGTGGTCGGCGAATTAGCTCGCGACCCCGACTTTGCGCTGCCACTCTGCATGCGCTGGTTCGCCAATGTTTCAAAGGCCCTGCGTCTGATGGTCTTGGAAGTGCTCGTGGAACAGGGTTGTTCCACATAAATGTAGCTTCTTCTTTAATTAATTATATAGTTTATACACGTGTGCAGGCATATTTCTTAGAAGATGCGCAATTACTGGAAATTAGTTTGTATGGTAGCAGCAAAGACGGCCGAATCGCCCCCAGTTGCCTGTATGATATGTATTGAACTTCCCAAAATACGCACAGCAATAGTGCCGTAATTTCGAATGTTTATACTTTTTCCGGACATTTTTATTCCAGCCTTAGGCATTCGGAAAATACACCGTTTAGTCTGAATTGTCATTTCCAATTAAAAGAGACACTGCTGCAGGTCTCCAAAAGCTTCCTCAGCCTCCAAACTCCCCACAGCTGGACTCTCTGACAACAGAGGAAAACAGGAATAAAAGCAAGCATTCGATTGTCTGTTCAGTGGTAGATGCAGCACTAGTAGCAGAAAATGTGGAACCTGTGAAGGGCGACAGTCTGCGTGAGAAAAGCTTCAGGTATTTTAGCTTTAGGACAATTCGATTTAAGTAAAATCTCAATGTTTTGGCTTAAGGGACTAATAACGAGCTAGACACCTTCGCTTACGTTTGTTATACATTACTTGAGGGTTGATATAAACAAGTCCACAGACACCACTCGTGTAGTTCATTGAAATACTATCCGAATCCAGCAAAGGTCAAATGCGAGCATTGTATATAATAAATGTCCCTTGTTTTTTTTTACTTTTCCACTGCACTTGGGCTGTCTTACTTGTGATTCTCTCCCCATGGCCCAGACTGTATTTAGCATGTTGCTCGAGCAGCATGCAGCTTTTCTGCTTCGGCGATCAAAACAAATAGTATACATAACCTGCCAATTCATTCAGACCATCAGCAGCATTTATTGTGCGAAATGTAGATCTATAGTGATGCTCCTGCAATTGTGGCCATATTTCTTTATTTTCATATACCACTCCGATTCATGCGTTGCCTGCCCTGTCGACCATGCTCAAAATGTTGGTTGAAGTTCGCCTGTAGCTACAGGCCATACCTCAATAAAGGCACATATAAAAATTTACACTTCCTACGAAAAACACGCCTAAAAAAATTAAATAGAAACGAGCGCGCCGACAGCTAGCGTCGTCACAGCCTCCACAGGACGAGCGGGGCGAGTCGGGGAAAAATTCTCTCCTCGCCGTGACGTCACCCCGGTTCGCCGTAAGGGGGCGCCACGCGAACTTCTCGGGGCTAATAGCCATTAACATGCACCCATCCAGCTTTCCCACGACGATAGAGACACGATTAGGTACTTTCCCGGTTTGGCACACTATTCAACATTTCAGGCATTCGCTCCAAGGTTGCTTTTGGGCAAAATTTTCTGGCAAAATGAATCTGCGAATGACTTCGAAAATATTTCTCAATACGGGTTAAATATATTTTGTAAAGCATTCATTGAGGCCATCATGCAAAGCAATGTTTCAGCAAAATAGTTCTCTAGATTAGTGTAGCTGATTGTGAGACTCTCGTTCTGAGGTGCCTTTTTGAAACAAAAACAAATAATCCAAATACAGACAAAGGTCTAGTCTATTTGAAATTGCTCTGCATGTACTCTTTCAATGGGTCCACTCAGCTCAGTGTCTGCAATTGAATCGATATGACTTGTACATTTCTACTGCTTGAGTTGAGGGCCTAAAGGCTATCGCTGTGCATGCGGCCCTGCTACTGAGACCGCTCCACTTGAGTGCACGGTCTAAAACTGATCATTTTCTCTTGTATGTCACAAAAGATGGGGATGGCTGCATCCATACCGCATTGTTTGGAACAAAGTAATAAACCAGAAAATAAATGTATACTTATATATATAATTATTTCTTATGATTCTGAAATTTTGCAGCTGCTATCAATTTTTAACAGAATGGAAAGAGTGTCTCTCTAAAGTGAGCTTTGAAGTGTAAAAATTAAAATAACAAGTAACACGACACTTTTGTATTTGAGTTTCGGAGTGTAGTCACAGGTTTTTCTTTGTCTGGTTTTTCTTTGTCTAACTTTATTCTTTCGCTTTGAAGTTAAGTACTATGGCATTAAAAGGGATCGGTGTTTTTTGATGCACTGATGAACTCCAAAAAGCGACCCCCGAGCCGGTTTTATTAAAATTGAGGAAAACTAAAAAAAAAACAAATTGTAACCATCTCTGAATATAAAAAAAAAAAAAAAAGAAACTATGTGAGAAAAGGTTTTTAATCTAGTACAGCTTTATTTTTTTTTTTCTTGACCTGAAACACAGGCCTACCTCCAGGGCTGCTTCTTTCTTATGGAACTGCATCCATTATCTAGTTTGCTTCTCTTGTTGGTACTGGATTGTTTTCCAAGTATTCAGGTCATGCGCATGTTCCCTGGAGGTAGGGGAATTGCATGCCAGTGTCCTGTTGTCTTCGACATTAGCTCCCGACGAATGCTGATTGTCCGACGCCACAAACGCCCGAATATCTGGCCAAAAAATTAACCAGGAAAAAACGCCCACCGAATTGGTTGAAAAATAATCCCCTAGTTATTAAGCCCGCGTGTGTATATACCACAATTTCCCGACCACATTTCGCACCCGGTTAAAGTCTGCAGAGGCCTGTTTCGGTTGAAAGAAATAGTTGCACCTGGCACCTAGTGGACACTTAAAAAGTCCTTATACGTGAGCACACCTCGACAGGTGCCTGCTTTATTAGCTCACAAAGGAGCCTGCATCATACATAAATCATCAGTAACATACTGCGTCATCCACATACTCTGTCGCGTATTGTAATGAACGATGTCGAAAAAAATAATTCTCTTATAAACCGCATCTGTGGACAGACTGCACTAAAGCACTGGACATCCTGTCTTATCCAAGTACCGCCATCGTTTGATCATGCCGCAGGCGCTCCTATTGGATGCCTGCGACGCGTCTCCATTTTTGGCTCATATGGCGCATCCCACGGTCACGCTCCTATTAGTCTGCTGCGGTTGCCGTTTGCCGGCAAACTCCCATATGTCTATATTGTAGATGCCTGCACTGTGCCGCCACGACGAACCAGGTTGGCGGAGACTCTCCGCCATTTTTGGCTAAGTGCATCCCAGCATGCACCAGCTTGGCGGTACTTGTTTATCAAATTCGAATTCATCCAGCACTTTAGACTGCACCGCATAAAATTCAAATTTTTGGATGTGTAATAGTCCGTGGAGTATAGTGGTTCGTAATATACTGTATACTGGGGTACACTTTGCTCACGAAAAAATAAGCTTCAAAAAAGACCCATTGGTCGAGTGTGGAACGGGTAACCATCGTCTCACATTTGCTTTCTCTTATTTCTCTCTTGCCACGCAACGTTTAGTGTGCCCATTGTCCTAGTCGGGAACAAGGTGGACCTAAGGGTCGAAAGGTAAGGTGGAATTTGCTTGCCCAGTGTCTTTACAATCGGCGCTTGTTGCGTGTTGCTACCGTTTGAGTCTGTCGGAGCAGCGACGTTGAGACCTCGGCAACAGTTGCACTGTAAGAAAGGGAAGGAAATCGAGCCATACGTCTCCCAAAGGAGTACAATGCTTCAGGCCCCAATTGGGATTGAACGAGAAAATTTAGAAAGAAGTGACGCAATCGTGGCAGAGGACCATCTATGTAGTCTCAGGCCAGGGTTTATTCCCACTTCTGGTAGGCCTTTTTTTTTTTTTTTTTTACCCATTTTTACATCAAATGCAGGGAACTCGAGCCATGTTAGAATCGACCCTTTCTCCAACAAAGCTTCCAGATGCAAGCTTACTAATGTTGCAAAACCAGCAGCCTAGCACGAGACTGGAAAAATTTTAAGTATGTTGCAATCTACCTTTCGGCTCGTATCGGCTCTTACTACTACCTCATTTCAGTATTAACTATAGAATCATAAGTTTAAGCATTGACAGTCAGCTTTGTGTCGTCGTCTCCTTTCTGTTCTTTCCTTTGAATAATAAAAAAAAAAAAAAAAAACACGTAAAGAATGATTGTTGGGAATTTTCAATCGATCAATAAGAGCTCGGCGTTGTGACATCATCGCAACCCCTCTGCAAGAAGCAGACAAACTTGCGCTCCGTATAAAAATACAATTGGAAAGTGCCTGGTGAAAACAGTTAGTTATTCAAAACAAATGTATAATACTGTTGAGACCGGTTATAACGAAGTCGGTTAAAATGAAATAGCGGCTACAGCGAAGCAAACATGATTTCCCATTCCCGTTTCACTTTTTCAGTGCATTTGTTTCTGTTTGTAGCGAAGGAAATTGAGCTGCTCCTGTGGATATAGCGAGGAAAATTTTTTGATAACTTAAAAAAAGAATAAAATTCGGAACATTTACTAAGTCTCGGACCGTCGCACTTTGCTGCCAGCGGCAGTCTCTGCAATGTCGTCTGCTCCCCGCTCCTTATCTGGGAAGCGGCTTTACTACATCGCATGGGAGAAGCCGTCCTGCTGTTTTGACTCCTTGCATGCTGCAGCTCATTTTGCAAACGCGGCCCACAAATCACGTGACTCCGATCGAGCAGTTGCCCCATCTCTTAAATCTAGGCTCTCTATACCGACGGCAAACAAGCGTGAGCGCAAACTCGGTGCCATGCGCGCTTCTTTGTTTGCTTTGTGATCCGTGTTGGCATCCGCTCGGTGAGGTCGCTGTTGTGCGAAAGTTTACTTCGCTCGAGCACCGATTCGGCGAATCATTGACACTCAACAATAAAAAGTCCCGGCACCACCGGCACTTCAACGGGGAAAACGAAGGCAATCTCCTTGAATCAAAATGCGTGCCATCCATAAACGTAAAGAATGCCGTCCACTGCCAACGTCCTCCGCGTGGCCTTCGCAGCCGTACGTAGCAGGATCTTTTTTCGATCTGAGCTTCTCGCAGGTGACCAAAAGCGGCTCCAATCTAGCAGAGGATGCGTGCAGGGAAGCCTCGACCGCGCAGGCTCGATAAACATGTGCCCTTGACAACCCGTATTATCTTTTTTTAGTGTTATTTGTACAAGATTACATATAACAAAGAAGCAGATATAGCGAAGCAATTTACAATTCCCGTTGGACTGTGTTATAACCGGTCTGGGGAGTACTTTGTATTTTAAATCAATATATCTCCTGGACCACAAAAACTTGTGTGTCTCTAAAGTTTCGCACATGCGCTGTGAGTGCACAATTGAGAAGAGCCACCATCACGTTTTCTTGAATAATAATGCTTGTAAATCCTGCTCCTTTCACTAATTAAGCCTGTTGTGGTTTTCTTTTGCATCTTTCTTGTTCTCAATAGCAAATAAGTATTTGAAATTGAGCCATTTTGATTGTACAGGACGGTGCTTTCATAAAGGAGTGGTGACATTCCGTATTGTTTTCTTTGGAAAGGGTGGTAAGCTACGAGGAGGGGAGGCAAGCTGCTGACTACATGAAGGCTGCATTTTTGGAGGCCTCGGCCAAGCAGAACCAGGCAAGGCTCTGTTCTCTTGGCGTTTCTTCGTCTGTCCAATCTGGCCCTTTGTCGCGAGGATTAGAGAAGCCCTTCTAAGTGTTTCATTTAATAAGCCACTGCATTTGATTTATTGCTGCCTAATGAGAAAATTAAAATATTACATAAGATGCAGAGGAAGCAGCCATGTTCATAAAGGCCCGATTATTCATACACCACAATGCTATCCAGCGCTGGAAATGTACTGACCTTGCTGATCCAACACTGACTTCGCACTATGTTATAGTTACACACTGCTGATAGAGCAATGCATGCTATGTTCAAGTGCTAAGTAATGTTCAAATCAGCATTGCATCAGAACTGTTCCTAGTATTGATTTAGCACTGTGATGCATGTGTGAGCAGGCATTAAAGGTGCATAGTAAACATTAATTAGAACAGTACAAAAAAAAACAAGGACAAGTAGAAGAGGGATGCAGCACTGTGTCTGTGTCCCTCTTTTACCTGTTCTTGTGTTTTTTTGCACTATTCTAATTATGTTTATTATGCACCATTGACTAGCCCACCTCCAAACTTTACTTAAAGGGATACTGAACCGAAATTTCGAGCTCACTAAACAAGGCGGGGCGGGAAGCTGCAAAACCAAAAAATATCACTCATACGGCGATATATCTAACGGATTGCCGTATTTTTTTGGAAAAGAAGTGCGCGATTGAACCCAGCCGACGAGACAAGGCACGTCGCGATTCCCATTCTCTCTCCTCCTCGCTGCCTCCCGTCAAGCTGGTGAACCGAAGCGAGGAGGAGAGAAGCGAGGCCGTTTCTCCTCATTCTTGAATTCTCCCGGAGGACAGTTACGTCAAAGAACTTGCTTGATCGCGCCCTTCTTTTCCAAAAGTACAACCATCCGTTTGAGATATCGAAATACGAGTGATGTTTTGGGGTTCGTAGCGTCCCGTTCAACACTTCTGCAGCCTTACTTTGCGAAATCCAAATTTTGGTTCAGTATTCCTAGGTGCCCGCTACCAACTTTCAGGTATTTTGCAGATGGTGCAAAGTATGTATCAAGCAACCACCCCCTTCCAAAAGCTGTCGTCAACTGAAATATTAGACTTTATTCTGACAGAAGCCTACAAACGAAAACAGAACGATACCAAATCGCTATCACTCTTTCGTGGGCCTCCGATTCTAACAATACCCCATCCTCTCTGTGCACTTTTTTTTGTACAGTTTTGGAGATTTTATTAACAAGACAAGCGGATTCCCTTAATGTGCATAGCACAATCACTGGACACGGTGTTGCGGTTGCTTTTTTAAGTCCTTGTATGGCTTTCTTCTTGGAATATGTTTTTAGGACATTTTTATAGCAGTTTTCTTTCGTTTAAACTTTCCAGGTTTAGAGATGTGATCAAGGAACTAGGCACCCATAAAGATTCAGTTTGGGTTATGGACAACTTCCTAGATAAGCTGCTTCAGTTTGCAAGGGATTGCTTCAAATACTGCAAATCACTTTTTTGGTGTTTCTTGACAGTACTTTTCCCTTCTCTGGATTAGTTGATTAACGTTATGGCACACCACAAGGGAAACGCTCACTAACACAGACGTTAAATATACACTCACTCGGTGCTGACTCGCAACTCGTGGTTTCTATTGTCTTCTATGCACAAAGAACAACCTCCTCTTTTTCTGTGTTCTAAGAACGAGATGACAATATCAAATGCAATTACAAAAATAAAACAAAAATGGTGTGCTGTAACGTTAATCATCACGAACTACCAACCCGCCCAGTCAGCAGTCTTATCTGGATTAGTCTCTTTGTTGACTGCCAGCTTAAGAGCTCTCTGCTGTTTAGTACCAGTTAAGTTGCCCGTGCCTTTTTTTTTTTTTCACGCAACTTTCAACAAGTTTAAATAAATGCTTAAAAAAATTTGATATTTTTTAATGTTGTATCGTATTTACTCGAGTAATAGCCGCACTATTTATGAACAAGGCCCTTGATACAGGTAATGGAAGAACCCAACACTAGTGTCAGCCATCTGTATGTGGGCCTGCAGTTTACATTTCCAGGGATCTTTTGCTTTCACTGGTTTGCAAAAATGCTTTGAAACCTCTTAAGGGGGAACACTGGTCTTGAAGCTTTCTTCCTTAGTTTATGACCAAACCAAATGAAACTGCACAGCTTGTTGAGTTTTTTGTGCTGATTTCATATATCTGGTAATTTTCTCAGTCAGTAGAATTGTCCTCAAGATAATTAATACTTGCCTGCCTTTGTTGGGAGGAACAATAGAGAAAAAACAGCTCAACAAAATATCCTTCTTAACACATGGCAATAGTCGGTGACAGGTCAAGAAGGAAGTGGAAGCTTCTCCCGCCTCTTTACCGCAGCAAACTTTGGAGAGACTGTCACTTCCTCTTCAGCGTTCGCTCTGCTATAGTAGAAAGAGGTGGGAGGAGCTTCCACTTCCTTCTTGACCTGTCACCGACTATAGATACAAAGTGTAGAGAATACAGTGTTGGAAGTACTTTTAAGGTTAACCCAATATTAGTAATTTTACCAGGCATTGAAGTTGAGTGCTCAATGCATGGCTAACAAGTAATAAAACAAAAGATCAAATAGAAAATTTTCTAGACTTGTATAAAAAATCTGCTCTCAACATTGTATGCTTCTCACATTTAGCTACACATTTCAGGAGAGATTGTTTCTATCTGCTCTAGATGCTGGGATATCCCTCCTGCAAATTTTCAAGTTCAAAAATTGTGTTTCGTAAAGGCAATATTTTAGACTCAACTTCAACGCACATTCAGCCCACATAGACATTATAAATTGATTTATAGCTCAAATATTCATCTATAAAATTAAAGTTTGGTAGATTCAGAAGAACAACAGCCATCGCCATTTTCAAAAGACTGCAGTTTTTGGCTCCAAAGACCCATGAATAAAGTTTGTAAAATATATTTAACGAAATTTTCAGCTTCCTAGTAGTTTGAAATGCTTAGTTTAGAAACGTCAAGCCCTAACTATACCTCTCCTCACGGGTCTGGTTTAGTTTGATGACTGATGCGAATGCTTCTCTTCCAGAGCGTGTTTGAGATCTTCAGCACCATGATTCAGCAGATCGACTGGGCAGACGGCAACGTACCCGAGAAACAGTCTTGCGTCGTCTCTTAACCCACGCCTCAAGCACGATAACCGAAGAAATCTTCCTCTTTCGAATTCAGTGAGCTATCGCAGCAAGCGCCGCTTTATCAATCTCCATTCAGCTTGCCCTTTGGCTTGCATCAGGTCAGCCGGGTTAGGGTTGTCGCATCACGACCACGCACGAGTGATTAAACCGGTGCCGCTCCAAAAGCCGTCGGATACGAGAAATTCGGCACCCCGTCGGCCGGCACGGCAACCGCTTCGTGCGGCGGCAGTCCGCTCATAAAAGAAGCGCTGGGCCTAGGCATCTTTTTTTTATCGGTTCTCATTTCTGCCGAATAGCTCTTGGAGGTGGTCGGCTTTCGACACGCCATTCACAATATTGCTGGTTTGTGGGACTCGCTTCGTTCTGCTGCCGAGGCTTTCTGGGAGGGGAAAGAGAGATCTGTTTTTATTCTGGCCCAAGCTTCAGTGTTGCGTCCTCTCCAAGCCTTCATTTCTCCCATCGTTTGACGACTCCCTCTAAGAACTGTACTTATATGTGCTCCTTCCTCCGCATTCTCCAGTGTGTAATATATATGTGTAACGAGAAAGTGACGAGCCCGTCCCCGAAGAGACAGAGGACTACTCGAGCAGCCGACCGGACAGTGTAAAATACAGACCCGATTTGCATAAATAAAGAAAAAACATGTACTGCCAAGATTTGCAGATTGCAATAAAACTGTGATACGTGGTGCGAGTGACTTTTTGCGTCTCTCGGTCGCCAGAGCGAACAACCTCCTTGATGAAACTGTCTTTAATTTTCACCAGTTCGCAAACATTCTTAGAGTTGTCTTCTAGAAATGAAAAATACGAAAGGTATGAAGAAACTGACAATGTTTGAACCCAGGTTGCTTCCAGTCTGGACAATGGCACTGCTGCTGTCCCACCGTTGGTGCTTTTTATACCTCACTGTTAGACCATGAGGTAGTCTGTAAGTAGTCTCCACCAATATGAGACCCTTTAGCAGTAAGCACACTTTGGCAGTGGATCTGGGCCTGACCAAAGCAAATCCTGCACAGCTGCCTACAACTGTCGTTAAGAGTTACTGTAAAACCCTTAACGTTTGCGAGCCCTCGATTTTCGCGAATTTCACGAATTGAAGAATTTGCAATATTTAAGGGCGTGCGAAAATTTCGGTCCTTAAGATTTTCAATGCAGGCATCTGGAATTCGCGAAATTTAGTGGTCGCGATTATGTCATCTGTGACCGATTCGCGAAAAATAGGGGCCGCAAAAATAAAGGGTTTTACAGTATACTGTTGCAGACTACACAGGCTTGCACATATACAGCAACTGTGTCAAGCTTTATTTTTTTCTTTTTTTTTCTCTCCCTATGGTCAAGAGCAAGCAGCAGTGCAGTGGAAGTACAGGAGAATACCAAATTACTGTGCATTATTGAGATCCCATTAATTTGCTTCACTTTAGGGCATAACCTGGTTTGCATTGAACAAGTTTTCAGGGAAGCACAAACTTGCTACCACTTTGGGCCAAGCTTTGAAAAACTTGGCCATTCCTACACACATGATGCAAGACTGGTTTTCGAAATTCTCGATCTCGAGGAACCCGTCCCGTCATTGATACAGTAAACCTGTGTGGGAGTTTACGGGCATTTCTGGATAACGCAGGTGCTATGCAGTGTTTGGCTCGTAGTTATGCATTAGTGAATGACTTGGGTCTGCTAAAGATTGCTTAAACTGGATGAACCCTTTACCTACCGTATTTACCCGAAAATAGGTCGACCACGAAAATAGGTCGACCCCTATTTATTGAGCCCACCGATAATTAAAAAAAATAATTCAAATATAGGTCGACCTTTCTTTTTCTTTTTTTTTAAGGAACACGGGAAAGTCAGGGCAAAAGAAACAAACCTTTATTTACAGCACTCTCAGCTAAATCACAGGGTGATGTCAGAAAAGCTTCGTCAGCTTGGTAGACATCCTCGCAAATTGGCAACAATACCTCACTGACACCGTTGTGAAATGAATGACGACAAGAAGAAACGAAAGAAGGTGGAGACGGGCGAGCGGCGAGCGACGAAAGATCAAACACAGAGACACGAGCAACGCTGCCAGCCCCGTGAGCAACACGCGACCCATTGAAAAAAAAAAAACTAAAGTACCTCCTTTTTTTTTTTTTGTTTTGTTTTGTTTGCGCGTTTGCGAGGGAGAGGGGAATGGAGCGCATAGGAGGGCAAAGTGCAAAGTGCATGGCGCATCGCGTTCCTCTCCCTCCCCTTCCCCCTTGCTTAGCGAGGGCAACGCTACAGGCGTGATGGCGAAACTCGACGCCCGAGGAATGTGCGCGAGAGCCGTTCCGGCGGATACGGGCTGTCGGCTGCTGCTGTTCGGTTGTTTTTGTGCATCAAAAGCTTTTTGAAACAAGAAGCCGCGCGGCTCTACCGGGACGCCGGCTAGGTGATTGATAGCTTCATACCCTCGGTAGGGTTTCATATTTTGGTTGCGAATTAGGTCGAAATTCTTTGGTCACGATTATAGGTCGACCCTTAATTTTTCACAACATTTCCGAAAAAAAAAGGTCGACCTATATTCGAATAAATACGGTAAGTATAGGGACTGCAAGAAACTTGAGCTTGGGGAAACCAGGAGTGTACTCTGGGGAGTTCTTGCATCCCTAGGAACCCAGTTTGAGAAACCATGTGAAGAGAAACAAAAAGGTTTGGACTGATTACAAGTAAGCTCAGGACCAGCCATTGATGTGTATGGAACATAGCCGTTTCTGTTCCCACATACTAGCTAAGCAAAATAATTGTAAGAAAATTAAACCTATGTGAATGCCCTAAGTTCACAACTAGAACCGGCGACATGCCATTTTTATTGTCTCTCCAGTGACGCATGCAACAGTGTCGTTACAGGAACTTCATATTTTACATCATCCTCGCGTGCAAGGGGAACACTTTCCAAAGAAGTTGCATCCCCATGCTTTCTTGCAGAACCTTCCCTTGTAATCTGCCATATGCAACTCCCCCTCCCGTCAGCCGGGTTTGGGCTGCATGTACGACAAAAGTAACGGACCCATGCGTGGTGTCTCAGCTAGGCTATATACAACCAAGTAGTATAGCCCTTCCACAGCTTGTATTGTCCTTTCAAGATAAAACAATTTCAGGTTAATAAAAAGACCAATGTATAGCTTCAATCTAGCGAGGTCGAAAGTCCTTTTTCCTCTTCTCTCAAAGAGAACAGTGAAGGCGAGGAAGAGGGGGACAATATAAATCTGCAAAACACCGCATGTATGAAAGGTAAATTTGCAGGCTTTACGTGCCAAACTAACAAAAGACATCTGGCATGCCTCAGCAAAGAACAGAGGATTAGTTGTGTCCACCTGGGGATCTTTCGAAATGCAACCAAAATCTCGGTTACATGGCACTTACTCTGCAACAAGCCTTTGTTGGACTTCAGGAGCCTCAGCCCTGACTTCAACCCGCCAAATTGGGATTTATAGCAAGGCCCCAGTATGTCCATGTCGGCCTTGAATACATATCTCTAAAACAAATATCTGAATTAGTGGCAGCTTCAGAATCGCATCATGGAAGCATGCCTCTTTGAGGTAGCATGCATTTTTTGTCGCAGAGAGACTCTGAGGACATGCGATGCTCAAACCTGGACGGTCTCTCCCTGAAGGAATTGCTGGGGGACGACACTCTCAGCTCCTGTTGCTTGGCAACGCAAGATCCTGAACGTTACGCAAGCTTTGAAGAAAAAGGGCAAGATGGGCACAAGCAAACCAATGCCGATTTGGGTGATCTAGGAACATGCCGATACAAAAGAGAAGTGGCCAGATAACTGTAAATAGCTTACTCTTTTCAAGGAACAACAAAAGTATGAAGGAAGTGTTTGCACAAAAAGCAAAGGCTCGCGATCACAAGCGCACAAACCATGAACTTGTCTATGCACAACTGCAATCTTTTGTTTCCAAAAAAATATTTTTCAGAGTGGCTATTCAGAAATACGAAACCTACAAATATAAAGTTTAAAGTGTAATGGCAGTTGATTTTCCACAAGGCATGGAGTCGGGCTTGTTGGTGCATAACTAAGATAAAGCCGGCACAAAAAAATGCAGGATTAGGAAATTGTGCGTGTGGACCTCGTTCCTTGTTCTGCATTTTTGTTTTCTCTGTGTTTTCATGCTATTCTCTGCCATTAAATCTATTCAAGTTACAAGTGCCATCACATTTATCCATGCAACATGTCTTGCTCAGGGCTCCTAAACAAGGTTCTATAAAACACACTGACAATAACCAAGCACGATCCAAATATTTTGTATGCATATTTTCTAAATCAATTCCCAAAGAAACTTCCATTTCCACTTGGAACGTTACGGCATAAAACCTCACACTGGAGTGTGAAAATGTAACGGGAGGCAAGCGGAGGAAAGAAATAAGAATTCCTGTTGACTTCTTTCCCTCGTTGGTCTTTTTCACTGGGTCTCTATCATGTTTTCCTTCCACCAGCTCGCCTGCGTCTTACGGTTATACCTCTCTACCTGTGCCACAATCTTTTTCACTAACTTGCAGTGAAACCCGTTTAGAACGAACCCACGTACAGCGAATAATTGTCAATATCGAACACGCAAAGAATTGAAATAAAAATGCATGTAAAACATACTTTTTATGATGAACAACCTATTGGCTATATCAAACTTTTTCCCCCAAGAAGGCTTCCAAAAACGCACAAACAATCGTCTTCTATACCCTATTTCACCTTGTGATGTACCGCAGGAAGGGCTACATGCGCAAGCTCCTTGCTCTCGTGCGTTAAGAGCAGCTCCCAACGCTATAAGCTCGCGCTTCTAGCCTTCTGTGCGGTACAACATAAAATGAAGCGGAGTATGGCCTGTCCCTGTCCCTCCCTCTCTCCTACTCCTCCTCCCACCCCCCGACGCACAAAAAAAAAATAGGAAAGAAATTTCAAAATCTCAGGCCGCAAACAAAATTAACAAAGAGAAGCAATTCAGAAGGGGAGAAAGCTAAAAAAAAAACACTGCACGCACGCGCAAAAAAAAAATAATTTAATTCTAAAGCGGTTGCCCACAATGAGAAGTGATTAAAAAAAGGAGATTAGCTAAAAAAACTAAAAAAATTAGCAAAAAAAAAATCTTTTTAGCACTTTGTCACAAGGTGGAAGCGAAGAGATGAGAGAGAAAGAGAAGCTCTCGCCTTACAACAAATGCATCGTGGAAGTTCGTTGTAAAGGTTTTTTTGCTATATCAAACTACTTGCTACATCGAACTGATCGTAGCATTTCCTGCTGTTCGTTATAAACGGGTTTGACTGTATTTGAGTGGTCATTTTCATCCCTGTGTGGTTTCAAGGTTCCACTTGGCCTCTGTGAACGAAATACACATAGGAAAAAATCGAAACAGCAAGGAGCTTGAAAATTAAGGCTGTTCTACTGACAAAGCTATGGCTCAGAATCTGGCCATGCAGACACACCTTTGAGAGGCAGGCACTGGTTTCTCCAATCCACTCTACACTTGGTGCAACACACTGCAGTGCTAAATCAACACTAGGAATAGCGCTATGCAGTGGTGACTTGAACATAATTTAGTACTGATGCAGTGACCAGGTTGGGCGATATTCCAAGATAGTACAGGGTGTGGCCGCAAGGACCAGCACATTTGGCACGCCATGCTAAATTTGTATTCCAAAAGCACATACCTAAAACTGGGCACATAAACATAGTTCTGCAATAAGTTTTATGGCTATTTTTTTTTTAGAGCTCAAGTCGGAGGTGGTAAAATATTAAGAATAGAACAAAAACGGCGTCTGTGTATTTCCTATGAGGCTATGCCCTATACAGGTCCATATCACATGAGCGAATGACACTTTAGCGAACAGCGACATTTGAGCGAATCGTCGTTTTAGCGAATAACGGGGGCGCGCGTTAACCCACCCACCGCGCTGCGCTTTACGCCGCTTCGTGGCGACAGTCTGCGGCGGCTCATTACAAAAATGTGAACCTATTTGGCCCACCCGAAAACGCCGCTTGGCGGCGTCCAACTATTCGCTAAAGTGTCATTCGGTGAAACGTGGACATTCGCTAAAACGTCATTCGATCAAATGAGTGCCTCCTGCCCTATACCAGATGTTTGTCGTCTGCACACTGGTTTCTTATCTTGCTCCCAGGTGGTCATTGTTCATATGTTTCGCTAAAAGTATCAATCATCCCTATACCAGATGTTTGTCGTCTGCACACTGGTTTCTTATCTTGCTCCCAGGTGGTCATTGTTCATATGTTTCGCTAAAAGTATCAATCATCACTTTCATATTGATGATTACCAGCCTCTACTATTGGTCCTTAACGTTCTCCGTTAAAGGCCGACATACAACCTTGGCTTTCTGCAGGGAAGATAATCCTCTTAGCGCTTTCCTCTCCTAAGCTGCGAGGGGGAGCCAGGTAGGGGCAAGGTAAAGCGTGCAGAGGATATACGAGAGGAGGTGGCAGGCAAAAGTGGAAAGTGAAGTGTACGTCCGTCTTTAAGCAAGCTCTACAGAGGAGAGCTCATAAACTAGTGTGCGGATGACGAGCAGGGCGGTATAGGACATAGGAAATACATGGTTTCCGAGTTGAGCTGTGAAAAAAATACATAAAACTTCTTGTGAAAGTACATTCAGGTGCCCAACTTCAAGAATGTACATTTAGAATTGGAATTTTGCGAGGTGTGCCAAATGTGCGAGTCCTTACGGCCACGCCCTGTACATCTGTAAGACTACAAATACAAATGCAGCACAGTAACCTTTTTTTCAGACCTTTACAAATGGGAAACATAGTTGTGCCCCACAAACCAGCTTCTGTAATCAATGCTCAGATAGAATGGCTTTTACACCCCTGGTAACAGCAGTATTGCTCAGGGTTTGACCTCAAACATGATTTTTAAAATAATTTCTTCAATGCAAACCTGGAAAGCACTTGTGTAAGAAGAATAACTGCCATCCTTTTTATAAAATTTCACTCCAATAAAAAAAAAAAAACTTTTTTTAAAGAAAAATGGCATTCTTAGTTTAAAACAAAGGCTGAATTAACGTTTCTTATGCAAAGATCGCCTTCATTTCTGCTGAATCAGATATGTGAAATTGTGCCTTTCCTTTTGCAGCAAAGCATCAAAGCTGAGCGACCTCGTCAAAAGATACCAGTATTGTGTACACACTTTTACTGCAGTACGAGGGAATGTTGGTGTTAATAAAGCATCGTTTTTGGAGAAGGTGCCAACACTCTTCCCCACAATTACATAAATGGCAGAATAAAGACATTCCTCCGTGACAAGGTGTCCATATGAAATTCAACCTTTGCCTTTGATGAAACCTTTAAACAACAGATAAATATCTCTGAAATCTAGTAAACGACGGCAAAATGTTTAGCGAGGTCTCGCCCTTGGGTAACGGCTAGGTCCCGGCTTTCGCCGGGAGGCTTTTGCCTTCAACACAACCTTTGCCTTCAAAGGAGGCACGCGTACCACATAAATATCCTTTCGCTACGAGACTGGGCAGAAAAAGATTCTATACAGAGCCCCTATAACAACGAGAGGTTGTGTTTCCCAAAGCCAGACAGGGAGGCTACGGAAAAAACAGAGCCCTATTTTCACGGCGAGGCTTTTTGCTTTAGATCCAAACCGTACGGTAAGAGGAGGACAACCCTTCGATCCGGGTGGGGCGACAGAAACTTACGTACCACCCTCTTTCCGGGAGGCATTGCCTAGACCGAGGCTACGGCGCCTGAAACGTCTCTTTGACCGGCGCACTTAGACCGTTTCGGAGTCCAGACGCCAGCGTACCGAGGCCACGAGGGGACAGAGTCTCTTCCTTTGAGAACGGAGCCAACGGCCGACGCCATCAGTCGGTCGTGGGGGACGGCTGGTCCTCAAAGACGGTTGCGTGTCCCGAGAGGTGCTCGAGCACGTGTCCCTCAAAGTCGTCCTGGGTGACCCTCTCGGGGAAGAGGACTTCGCAGATGGGGCAGACACGCTCCAGGCGCTCTTCGGCTACGGGGCTGTCGCCGGGTTCACCGGCGCCCGTGCCGGACAGCTGCTGGGTGAAGTAAACCCGGAAGCTCTCGTCCGACGGCCGGGGCCCGCTCAGTGCCGGCCGCGACTTGCCGTCCCCCGGGGACTGCCTCCTGGACCTGTCGTCTGGCGAAGTACGAGAGGACAATCTGCATACATACTGTGAAACCCGTTTGCCAGCCACTAAATTTCACGAAATAAAATATTGTGAATTTAGGTGCAAGCTAAAATTTTAAGCACCTAATGCATGCCAATTTGCAATTGGCTAATAACAAGCAGAGCCGAGATGTGTGGTGTCTTGACCGGAAAAAGAAACGGCAGCGGCAATTGATTTCTTCTTTTTATTTTGTTTCTATTTCATTATAAAAAAAAAAAAAGACAGCGAACCTTAGGAAAGAAATAGCAACTAGGGTACAGTAAATTTTGGTTATGTTCACAACAAAGGACTTAAGCATAAACTGCATGTAAGCGATTTGGCAAGCGACAAGAAAGCGACGACGAGGACCCTCTGTCGCTCGGTTAGTTGCGCAACAAGACAAACCGCATGAAAGCAATGGGAGCAAGTGACAATTTTCCAGTGTTGCCTAGGTGTGTGGGGCTCCTGAGCTCCCAAATGGCTGCATGCAAAAAGCATATTAAAATAAGTGCACTATTTTGTAGGTTTTTGACCTTTAGGCAGCATACGACTAATAAAAAGCATAATTAGAAGTATTTATATTCCAATTGCGTTAAGACGTTCGCACATGACCACAAGCACAAAGAGCGCGTGCAAGGGGGCGCAAAGGAGGGGAACAAAGAAGCGTGCGTGGCTGGCACCTCAGCTTCTCAATAGCACATGACCGAGAACAGCCGCACAGTTGCGCGCGCAAAGTTGCTGCACGCACGAACCTGCAGTAAAGTTAAATAGAACATTTCGTGCTACTGGCTAATAATCGCTTTAGCCACTTCCGGGCATTGAGCGACATTTTCTAGAAATCCAGATCCGAGCGACACGACGAGCGACAGTGAATTTACAGGCTGCAAATATGCCCTATGCACTTGATTCAGGGAAGGATTATGGCCAGTGAAGTAAAGGGTTTCAAAGTATTTCTCACACAATATGCATCATGCCACTCCAAAATATACTGTGCTTCCTTCTAGTAGCCCGCACCTGTTTATGAAGAAGGTCTGTACGTCCACTTTCCCGGGAGAATCGGTCCCCGAGACGTATGGAGGGAGACCAGAAAATGTGGAGGCACAGTCAACGCACCTTTGGGTGCATTTCGAACTTTGAAACTTTGGGAAAGTTCAAAACCGCTGTTTTCGAGTCCAAACATCAGATGCATGACTAGCCTCTTCGGCCAGTCTTGAAGCAACTTTGTCACTAGGCAGAGTGCAAGTTTGTTTGCTTCTTACACAGGGGTTGCAATGCTGTCAGGACGCCAAGCTCTTATTGGCTGATAGAAAAAAATAGTGGGTAGACCTCAAGGCATCTAGCACTGAGGTCTACCCAATATCCTTGCAATCAAAGCCAATCAGAAGTCGGAGTCGTTCCGATGTCACCGCAACCCCTGTGCAAGAAGCAAACAACTTGCTCCCCACATAGTTGCTGACACGATGAGGACAGGATGGGGACGACAGGGAAGAGTTTCGATCATCCCGCCTCCAACGCACGCTCACTACCTTCAATAATGCTCGAAAGTGTGTGCACAGTCAATTGACCGATTTATTGATTGGAGGTTTATGGCACATCTGCACCTAAGGCTATGTTGTGCCAAGCTTAGAGCTATAGTAGCGAAATATGTGGTAAAACTATGAACATGAATGTCTATAAGTGTAAAAAATATGACAATGTGTTTAGGATAGAAAATAAAATCGCAGTCGGTGTAGAAGGCTGATCTCTGTGAGGAAGTTAAAAACACAGCTGTGTGGGATGAGCGGTTCATCACCCAGTAGTAAGGCGAGGTGTTGTGGAATGTGCTCTTTAGAAAGCAGTGTGAAGTGTTTATAATGGCATTAATCATACATAGGGCGTTCAATGAGTATGTGCATAATACTTAGAGGTAAAATACAGTGTCCACATTCAGAGGCATCCTCCCCGCTCAAGTAGTGTCCACGTGTGAGACGGGTATGACCGATTCGTAACCTACAGAGTATGACCTCGTAGAAGCGCTCCGGACGTTGGGCACTCTCCCACTCACCTAGAAAAGGCTTGATTGCTTGTCGTTTGTTTGTTGCCGGTTTCATTATTCCACTCAATCAAATCAAAGTTTATTCAGAAAACCGTGTGGAATACAGATGTCTGAGGGGAGGGGGGGGGGGGGGGGCACCACAAAAGACATCGGCATGCCTGACAAGGCAACAGCCCCATTTTAAGGAGTTGTGGTAATCTTTATATGGTATTTGGTTTGTGTCAATTTCTCTACCATTAGCAGAGCTGGCTACGCAATCAGCCGCTTCATTTCCAGGAATGCCAACATGGCTTGGATCCCAGCATAGGACTATGACAAGATTTTTATTTGCAGCCAAGATTATCTTGTTCTTCAACCCAGAAACCAGTGGGTTTGTTACACACTTCATTGATATGACTGCCTTCTTTAGAGAATTTAGAGTCAGTGTAGATTACAGCGTGAGGAAGCCTTTTTTCAATTATGTAATCAACTGCCAGCAGCAAACCATAAAGCTCTGCTGTTAGTATAGTGGCCGTTGAATTGATTCTTTTTATCTGATTTACCGATGGTCCCACCATAGCGCAACCTACTACCGAGTCTTTCTTTTGTCCCGTCTGTATAAAAACTGGCATACTCGTGATACCTGGTTTGAAGCTCAAAAAATTCCTGCCTTATGACTTTCTGTGGAACATCCTTTTTATTATATTTGGTTAGTGTAAGGTCGCAATGTATGTGGCAGTTGTTCCATGGGGCAATACCTGGTGGGTACTGGACTAGTAGAGGCTTTGCATCCATCCCAACAGATTGTGCTGCACTATTATTCCTCAGAAAATGGGGGGACTATGGAAGGTTTGTTTTGAAATGTGCACCAGAAACTTGATATTCTCAATACTACCTCTAACCCTCTGCTCAGCGACAGAGCAGACTCTGACGGAGTACGGAAAACATAGGGAAAATCTCCTATATACTCCAGGTACTGTTTGTTCGCTTTTGCATAAAGGCTAAGCACCGAGGAGGTGCGCAATGCACCAGTAGCTAATCGCAGTCCCTGATGATGAATAGGATCTAACATCTTCAGAAATAATGTCCGAGCAGAGTTATAGACAATACAACAACAATCAAGCTGAGAGCGAATGACAGAGCGATCAATCAACATCATTCACCACGTGGAGATGCGTTTTTTTTTAATATCCTTTTTTTTTTTTGTTTCTGTTTATGCCTTTCGTTTCCTGAAAGTTTTATTTTTCGTTTAGCATACGAACCTGCCTGTCTTCTCTTTACCATTAAAAGTGAAATTTAAAACATAAAAATACACACCTTGCAGTAAGCAATAAACACAAACATGGCACTTACACTGATCCATTTTGTGACACGACTCTTTGGAATAAACCTAAGTAGAAATATCGGACCTCAGGTTCGCTAGTGATTACTGTATATACCGACTTTGAAACCATCCATTCATAAAACGGAGCATATATTGCACAAGTGCACGACTAAGTGGCAGACCCGTTTCGATTTTGCATATTAGATTTTTTGTGCTAAACTCGCAGGACGGAGCAACCTGTACAACACGTTTGCATCGATCCCAATGTAGTTAGTATAAAGGCATTTGACCATAATTGCTAAGATTAATGGCTGCAGTAATTGTACCTCAGGACATGGCCAATTCAGAAGCGGACTTTAACAGACGACGCTTTTAAGAGAGTTTACAGTTGTACCGGCATCCAGAGCATAACTCGTCCTCCAAACAAAAAAAAAAACCGGCAGACAAGTAGGTTTGAAAGTTTGACACCAGTGTCATACCTCTGTTGTATATACCCGATAGAAAGCCATTTCATAAATCACTGGTTCTCAAACTGTGTTCCTAGCAACCCAGAGTACCCTCTGAAGGTACCCTGAGGGTACACCAGAGTACCTTTGCGGGTTTGCCGAGCTGCGAATATCCCTTGACCGTCTCTGAACCCCATGCAAAGCGTTTTTCCTCTTTCCGACTATTTTAGAAGATCTGAGCCGCCCACTGATGTATAACTATAAGGCCAACCACTCCTTCAAACTCACTAGTTGCCTGCACCGTTACCAAAGGTGCAGGGGCAAGAGTGTAACACTAGCAGTTGGAGAGAAGGGGAAGAGGGAACTCGCCTCTTACCCCTCTTTTGTGTGTGCCCCTGCCCCCCCCCCCCCCCCCCCCCCGGCTTTTCTCCCCCCCGGAGATTAACCCACCACTCGAAATATCATACAAAAGCGGCTTTCCTATCTCTCCCGCCCGTGGCTTCCCCACCACTGTGTGCAACTAGAGGGATAAAATGTAGTATACACACTATTTTTCACAAAGCACTAGGCACTGCTGTAATGTACCAATGACGACACCGTTCCTCGGCCGGCGATTGAGAGTGGCAGGGGGTAAAGTCTGAGAGCCCGCACACAGACCCACGTGACTGTGCAGAGGGCGGAGGGGTGGGCCCACCTCTGCAGCTGGACAGAAGAGCCAGTAGGGCTGCCCGCTGCCCCAGGAGCCTGTCCTTGGCGGCCCCCAGCTGTGCGCCCATGGCCGACACCAGCCTCAGCGCAGCCTCCTCACTGCTGCCGTCTTCGTCGCCGCCCCCTCCTCCGGTCGCTGCCGGAGCCTCCGTGCCGTCCGAGTGGCTCAGTTTCCTGCCCAGTTCCTTGAGCTCCGTCATCTCCTTTTGCATCTGGGCCATCAGGTGCTGAGACATGTTCTCCAGGGTCCTGAGATGACGAGACGACGGGAGAGAGCGACTCGACCCTTCATTCGAGAGGCATACAATGGGCACAAATAGGCAACGTGCAAAATTCCTGCCAGCTATCGTCGTCGTGCCATTCCGAGCCACCATACTGGAGGGTTTTTCCATCTCCCATTTGTGGACGAGTCTCTTTCGGTTTTAACAATATCAGGACGATGCATTTGTTAATTCAATTGATTGCTATTTATAGTTTCGGTGCAATGAAGGTAAGTGAGACAGCCACAAGATCATAGGACAGGAATTGTCGACAACGAGGTTGCAAGACATCTCACCGAAGCAATGAACTGAGCTGTCCAGGTAAGCGAATAGTGTTTATCAAAGAAGCTGTATGAAGGGTTTGGACAGGACTGGCAGTATGTGGTTTTACTTAAAGGGCAACTCCACTCCATTTTTACGATCTTCGGGTTATGATCTGTTTAGTCGAAGTCGGGGACCCTGAATCACGAGATATAATTTGTTTTTCGGTAGTGGGTATAGTTTTGTAGATATCGCGTATCCAAGTTTTGTTCCGGCAGCGCGGCAAAACCAAAACTGACGGCTTGAGCAGCTTGGCAATACTGATAATCAGCTACGCGTCGACGGCATGACGTAAGAAGATCTCATCCTGCGCTCCTAAAGGCCTGTCCAAACAGGCTAATACAAAAATCGTCAGGCCACTCGACTTTTGCAAAAATCGTCAAAATTGAAGCGTCCGGTGGTCATTGGTCTTAGGTGTGTTTGGACACCGGCCAAGCCAAATTCACAACTTTCCTCCTCGCCACCATTTTTTTTTACATCGGTCTCGTTAGACTTGACGTCACATGCCACCTGTTAACGTTGTGCATGCTGCCTGCCTATCTGATCTCCCGCACCTCACGAAGTCGCTGACCTCGCTACCGCCGTCGCCTCGGCAGGAAGGCCAAAAAGGTCCGGCTTCGGGTAGATCTGGAAGATTCCCGCGTCGAAGCGCTCGTCTCGGCCGCTCCAGCTTAGCTTCTTGTCAAAACCGATGTTCGTAACCCCCCCCCCCCCCCCCCCCCAAAAAAAAAAAAAAAGTGCAGTGCGCAACAGCGAGATTTTAAGTGAATAAACACTGAGAACTTAAGAATATATATTTTATTTTATTAAACTCCTAACCAACAAGGCTTGTTTGTCTATACGAGGTATGTTGGGAACATAAGAGCCGCGGGAATCCGATCCAATCCACAGAACTGCAAAAGATGACATGACCTCGGTCACGACTTGCGCGCTTTCCTGGCTTGCCCCCTCACCCTCGAGTCTCCCCTTTCCCGTTTTCGGGACTAGCAAAGCGGCAGAGGCCTTGAGTAACTGACCGACAGCCGACAGAGCGTGTGAGTGGCCCTCAGGACTCATGTGATGAGCAGATCAAGGCTCACGTAGAGGACACGGGCTGTTCGGTAATTTAGATTACTCCGGTCTAAAAACAAGATTTATACAGCATATTTACAGTTTAAACATAGGGAGGGCTCTTGAAGGTTGCTGTCGTACCGACCAACGGTTCCAACTAGGGTCCACCCAAGCTGGTAGCCTTTCTTTTTTTTTTTCTCTCTTCTTAGCACATGCTTTTTGGTCTCTTCTTCTTGTGAGGTGTGTAGTCAGGCGCGTATCCGCACCAAGCGGAAAATGTCCTCAATATTTAATACGGGTGAGATTTAACAAGAGAAACTTTCCCCCCGCAAAAAAACAAACAAAAAAAAAAACGGGCGGAAGCGGAGCGCCGCACATTTTGTCAGAGTCGTGTCGCCCAACGATTTTTGTAGTGTCCTGTTTGGACATCCCTTGAGCCAAACAACGCACCGGTACAACCGGTTCAGTCGCACGTGCAGTTTCAAAACAGAAGGCAAGTTCCACACTTTCTTTTTTACTGCTGCACTTTGTAAATATGCACCAAATGTAGTAAGTTTTAGGGTGCATTTATAAATTTGCCAGTTGATAAGCGAATCCAACTGCTACCATAAATAATATGACGCGGTCAGTGCTGGCACAGCGTGCCTGTATTTGTTTCTTGCTTGCGGACCAAGAGAAAAAGAAATAATGGGAGACAGATGGACAGATGGTATCCATAAGCAGTCCAAGTTGTTAAAGCTAAGGTGCTTTAATGTGTACGCTAGTTAGAGCTGCTGTGACCTGTTGGGACCGGCCGCTCGTGCTGGAGCAGCTGGCGGATGGTACGCGAACAGCGACAACACTGCATCCTTCTTCAAATACGAGTGTATCGTGGAGAAACTCGCAGCAGTCAGCAGCCGCGGATCCCATCTGTAAGTGTCTGGCGTAAAGTGCTGGAGCAGAGCTTCGCGTTGAAGTTTGGAGTCCACAGTCTTCCAAAGTCTATCCGGCGAACGCCACCGACCCACATCTTGTGCCTCTTCCGGTCTCTTGGGAACTGGTAGAACCGCAGCTCCGGGTAGTGTACCGAATTGTTGGTGCAACCCACAGCACTACAAGTCCCGCTCAACATTGCCTAACACGATTCCGGTAAGTCTCTTCGGCTCCACGACGCGCGTGAGCGAGCAGCACCATTTTTTTCTCTTCCGTGCAGTCGCGGAAACCATGCTGGAGTAAAATGAACCGCCAGAATGCAAACAAAAATAGGAGTACACAGGATAATGCGGTAAGCATCTCTTGCCGTCAGCAGAATTGCAGAATGCCACGTCAAACGAAGCGTCTGTATGAGTGCATAGGACGAAACCTATGTCATTACCCAGTGTTGCTTCACTAGCTCACCTGGTGCCAGCGTCGCTCACCCGCTGTTGGGCCGCTGACCCAGCTGGTAGAACATTTTTAATATTGGTTTTAATCAGGAAGGCAGCGTCGGTTTGACAATATTTTTTGGGTATGACCGTATTTTGACCCACTAAAGCGATATCAGCCATTTCTATAGAATCGACTTTTTGAGTGGAGTTGCCCTTTAAGATCTACGACTATCACTTTGCCGGAACCATGTCTCTGGGGCGAAGCTATCGGTACAAGAACCCCTCAATGTGACGGAAACTTGATAATTGATCGCAAGTACACTAGATGACACTTCCTTTTGCATACAATCTATTACATGGCCGACATGGCTAGTCCGGATCCAACACTAGGCTAGTTGGACATAGAAATAGGGCTGGACCCTTCAAACCGGGCGGTAGCTTGCTCCATCTATACTCCGTTCACCACTAAGCTGGGAGTAAGGTGGGAGCAACATGCCCGTTGGACCGAACAGCCGCCTCTTTCCTCACCTGACCCCGCTCCCTGCGGGTGGATATGGGTACGAACGTGACCAGCGAAAGATAGCTGTACGCCTGATCCAATGAATCAGTAGCTTCCACCACACCGCTAGCTTAGGGGTGAACAAAGAATACCATACTCTGTTTCGGTTTATGATGGACCAGAGCAGACGCTATGAGCCATCCCAGCCAATCCAGCGATGTGAATGCATAGAGCGACTATGCCCCCCGCGTGTTGCTGGTATGCCTCAGTTAAGAGTAGGAGCAGTGATTTGGGTCTGTTAGCATGGTGACACACATCAACTGCAACTGCAGTCAACTGCAGCTCAAACCAAATTTGTGACATACAAGCACCTCATTTCTTTTCCTTTTTCTTCACTTCTTGTCTCTTCCCCAAAGGTCAGGGAGTCACTTGCCCCCGGATGGAAACACTTACCTCTTTTCACACCCCATTTCTCAGCAAATGAAAGCAAACAAAATACACTTGCAGCATTATGGTAGGCAGGAGTACCTCAGGCGTTAGGCTCTGATATGATATCTATGATATGATAGTATACGACATCTGCTTACCTATATTTCCCACCACTGTATGCTACCAAACAAACATTTCTAGGAAAATAGAAATTTTAGGGCAAGTGTCATGCACCACTCTCCTGTCATCGACAGGAACGGATCTTTCCAAAAAATGCCGCGAGGTCTCTTGGCGACCCCACATTGCAAAACACGGCCTGGGAAATCAGAGGGCCAACTTGTACGCTCCATAAACATCGTGGAAACGGTGAGATTCCGTTGCCCCCCTTACTATTTGAGTACCCTTCTCTCCTACCACCACAAGTTCAGAAGATAAAAAAAACAAAAAAAACAGAACGAACACACATTAAACCCGACACATGCCTCGCTGCACGATCGTGCCACCTTCTTTAGGCGAAACGGAACAGCGGACGCGCTTTCCACTCCCAGCAGGGTGCCCCCTCCCCTCGCACGCTTAGCATTCTAAAATCTGCCTTCTTTAGTATTCAAAAATCTGCCAAACCACCACGAACCGTGTCTTCTATTCGTGGGTATCCTTTCACAAGCCATACACCGAATTGCTGTAGTGTGCCGAGAAAATGGTGAGGGCATTGCATAATTCTGGTATGGTCCGTAGTCGGTAATGGGGGTTAAAAATGCGGTAGACACTCTGCCTCCAGCACAAGCTTCCCTGCAACGCGTACGTACCAGGCGGGCGAGTTCTCCCGGTCGGAAGAGCCGGAGCCCAGCTCGACTGGGTAGAGGAATCCTTTTGGGTCCTCGGGACATGCAGAAGGGCCTCCCGCGTTCTCGCCCGCCGACCCCGCCAGGCGCTTGCGGAGCTCCGCATTGTCTTGGCTGGCCTCGTCCATCTGGGACACCACGGAGCAAACCGTGCGAGAGGCAGAGGTGTGGGACGTGCCAAGGAAAGTCACTACAGTCACCGATGGGATGAAAACAACAGGGGGGTCCGTCAGTTGTCCTGCCTCCAGGGCAAGGTTCCGACCTTCGACGACGGCGCCTCGCAAGCCTCGAGCGTGCGCGTGCAGCGAAAGCACGAAGAAGGGCAATGAGAGTGCACCGGGGGCCGAGCATTCGAAAGGGATGCCCTGCCGCTCTCATCCTGGCAGTGGCTATGATTCAGCTAAACTTTGGAGCCGTGACACTCTGGCCGTGTTCTTGCTTAGAACAACTGTTGCCAGTTATCCGAACCTTTCTCTGAAACTGCGGGAAACACTTCTCCGTCCTCCGGAAATGTTACAACGGTCCACGACAGAAGGGAATGATATTGCCCAGGCTTCCTGACACAGTATCTGAAGCTTGGGAATATAAATTTTTCAATTTTGACCGTTGCCAATCGCGCCTGCACTACTACACTAGGCAACAAAATGGTGGCGCCCATGAGATTGTTGGTACTCCATAAGCACATCTCACTCGGTGGCTCTAATGACAAGTGCCACCGAGTGGATACCTCTGCTCTGGGAAGTATGGGACGTACGAGCCAACAGGATCTAAGGCTAATCCTGTTTCTATTATTTTTTTTATTTATCAATACTGCCAGCCCAATATAGGGCCAAAGCAGGAGTGGGGTGATACAATGTCGTACATGCAAATTATAAACACACAACAACAGTTCAGGCTTCCACCTGCCTCTTTGTAGAAATAAATCGAGTTTATGCACCCGCAAAAACAGGAATGCAAGGTCGATGCGACGTGTGCTATTAAATTTACTTATATAAAACCATGTCCCTGTATCTTGTCTAACGTGTGTTCGGATAATATTTGAAGACACGTTCGACACAAGAAATTGCCGTAAATGTGTTGCATTCTAATCAAAACAAAATTTGAAGAGATTCTTAAAAAATATTGAGACATTTACAAATGTCTGTTTTAGAGCAGAGCGCAGCTCTTGAGGTATTTTGATTTCGCAAAATACCATGACGGGAGGGTACGCAGGAGGAGGAGGAGGGGAGGGTATGGAGAAGGAGGGGGTGTGGAGGAGGAGGAGGGAAGCTTACGGAGGACCACCCCCTCCTTCTCCTCCTCCTCTAAAACCTCCCCTCCTCCCACAGTTTCCTTGCTAGATTCAGCTGGAAAATTGATTTCACGTGACCTCCACACCAATTCAATTTCTCGCCGAGTTTAGCGAGGGAACTGAATTGATATTGAGGTCATACGATGGCAGTTTTAACGCTAAATTTGTCGGGGAAACTGAATGTGCAGTGTTGCATTATGGGACGACACAGACCTACACACCAATTCAGTTTCTTTGCTAAATTTAGCAGGGAATTGAATTGGTGTATAGGTCTACGACGTCCTATGATGCAATGCGCGCGGTTATGCCGCGAAACATGAGAACGAGCGCCTAAAGGCTGCGCTCTAAAAAAATTATCTAGAGGTAGTGGTGGTGTTTCCAGGCTTTATAGACCAACTCAACTCTCCGACGTCACGCCGATGCGGTGGTGCTGCTGTCGACACTGCGCATGTGCAGATGCATCGCCTCGGGGGAATCTGCACATGCGCAGTGCCCTCACCCGGTGGGCAAACGCGGGTTTGTTTGTAAACAGTGTGTTGGTCGATAGCACAAAAGCAATGGACGCCATATTGAATGATCTAGAGGTGAATTCTAGCACACTTGTATCCCATGAATCTGAATGTGATGGTCTTTTCATCAACCACCAGTTGGCTGCATAAAAGATGACTAAATGTGAGAAAGATCTAGAAACAACTTACTGCATATCGTAATCTGCATTATAAGTTCACACGAGTGACTCCTTTGGTCGGACATGTATGACACTAGCCATCTGCCTATAAATAATTGTACATTCAGATTACATTGCTAATGGGAGGCACATCATGCTTCTGTTTTAAGTGAGTTGTAGTTTCGAACGTACGGAGAAATCATTGCTCAACTATCATTTGCTGGCCCACTTGAAGCTACTGCATACAGGCGTAATACAGTCCTGAAAGACTATTTATTTTTTTCTTCTTTTTCTTGGACGAATGTTGTGTCCCACCCAAAGAAACCGGAAAAAAAAATTCAAGCATTGAACAAGTGTATTTGGAATAATTTATTACATGTACACTCTAATGCGAGACTTATCTAAACTGTGGTGCTATGTGTGTGAGTGAGTGTTGTTTTTTGTACACAATATGCCAATGCCTGTCTATAGATGTTTTTTTTTTCTTTTTCGATACCTATTTACAAAGTGCACTACTTTACTATATTGCGTTGCTTATGCCATTATCTTATTTTTTCTCAGGTATGTCTGAACAGATGTGTAAAATGTGCACTTTTTCTTCACTTTTGCTGAAAACATTTACTGATGCATTGTACTGTTTTTACCCTGTTCATGTATCTCTACTGCTTGGACCCCTTTTGGGGATCTGCGGTACCAATAAATAAAATATTTTCTACAACAATATTGCGATTGCAATTTTGTTTTACAGTTGCTGATGATTCCACCGTCAAACAGTGCCATCGAGCGGCTGCGTGAGTACCGTGCACTCACACCGTTATCTCGTCTACGTCAATGAAACTGGTCTTGTCCCTGCTACCGATCAAAATCTATGCTCCTCTTTGGCATTTCTATGCAAACCATTGCATGAGCTTTATGTAATGCTATGTAAGCTGCTTTCTATGTAACATGTCACTCCGGTGACTACGACGAGCCTGCAAGGCACATAAATGTCATACCGAGCTAGTAGATTCTTACCCCCGAAATGTGCGAGCGTAGCAGGAGCTACAGACACAAGCAAGCTGTCCCGAACAACGCTTGGACTGCACGAGCGTTAAGTGCCGGGAGCACGTCTCCGACTGGTGCGTCTGGCATCCTATAGACTGACACGCGGTGCGGCTTTGTTTACCGACACGGCCGGAAGGCCGCATATGTGCACAAGCTACGTGGGCAGAAGCGACCAGGCTCTCCGTGTTTTCGCCGTTGCATTGTGTGGCGTGCGCTCGCTGTTGACGTTGTAGACACGCCTCTAGCTTTATTTTCGCGTTGTATTTCCTGCCAACATGCGTCGTATTTTATGCTTGACTACCTGACCTTGCCACCCGAGCCTGAATGGAAGCGGTATCAAGGCAAACTGAACGCGGACGGCGTTGTCATCGACAATCCGTACACCGTAAACAAGGCCTGCTGGGGTTCCGGCGTGAAGTTGCAGCCCCTGACGTCGATGGCTCACATCGTTTATTTAGTTTTTTAGCCAAGCCAGTCCACGGCCGACATGGTGCAGGCGTACAAGTCTCTTGAGTCCTACTATTACTTCGAGCCGCTTTCCGCGCTGCCGGCAGTACCAGCAGACTGTGGGTCTGCTGGTATTTATTATCTGATTAAATACACACAGCGTCCTTCAATCCGAGGTATGACATTTTTCTTACCCTCATGACCACAAGGCATGACAAGCGGCAACAGTTTGTCCATTTTGTCGCCGATCTCCTTCTGCTTGGTAGCACGGGCATAGCGAGCCACCGACGATCACTTGGTCGGTGCTTTGTACGCGAACACAGTGGAAACAAAATCTGGGTGGTCTCAATCAGACGGCGGTTTCCCTGCACATAAGCAAGCCTTGGAATGGAGATTGAAATGGAAGCCACACTTGCCTTCAAGAAAGTGCTTGCTGCACAAACAATCGTCCTTGCAAGGCGACCAGTTTTTTTGATCCATGGATATTATCTAACTACCACACTTTTCAGTGTACACTGGGAACTTGTGGCAACTCATTCCGCTATGTTTGCTGTACCTTTCGGTAAAATTAACGGCTACACAGCTTTGTGGCATGCTGAAATGCCATGACACCCATGCAAAACGTGTGCCTTTCTGGCCATACCACCTGACTACGGCACGATTGCAGCGCCGCCACAGCTTCACGACGTCAAGCCCACGTGTCGGTCTATAATGCCTGTGCATCAAAAGTGATCCTGAAGTGGCAACAAATGACCTCACAAGAGCTGGTGTGTCACATTGGATATCGCAATACTGGCAGTTGGTTGCGTAAGTTCCAGCAAAAACAAAAAGCGAATGCCAGTGTTGCTGTTGTTACACCGTCCCAACTCATTGCTGTGTTGAGGTGACAACGAACTATGGCAGAGCAGGAGCCTGCTGCATTCTTGTCCACTGCCGTGACACCACCATAATCGCGACAGGTTATGGCATGACACTTCTACGGCATCATCAAGCGGAAATCGAGGGACCACAAATGAGGACGCAGTAAGTACATCAGTCGAAAACGCACTCCAGGGATCATAACAAGTGCATGCGGATCTCGTATCTTGTAGCTCCTTCTACGCTCGCACTTGGAGTGAAACAGACTTTAGTTCACTCCTCCCTTTCCGTGTTAAAAGTAAGTGGGTGCCGATTGAGCAAACTGACCTTCGCCCTTAGCTCCTGCGTCTCCCGATTCCGCTTCTCCAGCTCCTGCTGCAGGTAGCCGATGCTGACGTTCTTGGCGTCAACCTCCGCCGTCAGCTTGGCTCTGAGCCTGCTCAGACGCGCAATCTCGTCGCGCGACTGCCTCAGGTGGCACTGCAGCTCCTCGAAGGCCACGTGCAGGCTGCAGCCGTCGTCGACAGCCAACTGCATCTCCATCGGGGTGATCATCAGTGCGCTGGGAATGGGCTTGGCCTCCCGCGTGGCTGCCACCCCCGTGGCGGGGAGTCTCCGTTGCGTCATTCTCGGCTCGTTCCCTCTCGGCTCCGTCACAATGCAATGGCCAGTTCACTGCAGCAGAGGAAAAAAAGTCTTGAGACCAGTGGGAGTTACACATTCTTACGACTGTTTTGACATTGGAGATTTCGTTCAATAAATTTGAAACCACATAAATTTATAAAATGTCACAATTACAATTTTTTTTTTCTCCAAATATTGTGTGACAGTCTCTTATGAATTTTTTTGCACCATCGAGTTCTTCTGCCGTCTCTAGTCTGTAACTGCGACAACTTTGAGTTGCTTTTTGATGTCTTTCAGTGCCACCGTTTTGGGGCGGTCATATGTGAAATGTCTAGTCCAGATGAACTTGATCAAAGTTGAGCAACCACAGTACCTGCAAGCTCAATAACCCTTCCTATTCAAAAATAAAACTTGCCAACCGTAGGCTAACGAGGCTAACCGCCCGGCTAGCGGAAGTCTCGCATAGACCGACAACGTAAACACAATGTCGCACGCACTCGCACGCACTCGTTTTATGCCGATTTACCTTGCCGTAAAACAAAGCCTCTTGCCAGTACGCACCATTGCACCTCACCAATAGTCCCCGACACGCGTAAGATTTTTCAGCCTGAACGTCTCTAGAAGGCGTTGCTCGAACGCGGAAACTGGGAAGTCGTCGGCGATTACGAACGTAAACACCGCTGCCACCTGTCACCTCCGACGAAACAGGTCAAACCAAACGCGCAATTAGCCTGCTCATTAAAAAGAAGAAGAAATTCTTGCCTGATTGGTCTTTGCGGGCCGACGGTGTTTATAACTAATTTTCAAGGCCTTAAGACAAAAAGGGGGGAAAAAAAAAGAAGAAAGAAAGGAACGCAAGGGACGGTACTCGCAGAGGCTCAGGATGCGCTCATGCAAAACGCACACACTGAAAACTTTAAACTGAGCATCGTTATAATAAAAATTAGCAGTTGACTCACAATTATGGGTCGCTGTAAAACATTTTCCCTCGTTACCGTAATCATTACATAACTGAGGAAGACGAAAATAATTAAGATGGAATCGAGCCGAAGTTCGTTCAAGACCACCGTAATGTGCGTGGCCATTGGATGGATGGATGGATGCTACTGGCTATACCCTTTGTATCGGGCGGTAGCTTGCGCCACCTAGCCTACGTCTAATAAAGACAAACATTTGATTCCCCCGCCCTTCTAAGCCAATTTTCTCTCCCCCCCCCCCCTCCTAACTATCACCAGGTAGTGCGGGATATCGCCAGGCTGACCTTTGGGGGATCGGGCAAAAAAACTAAAAACATCACCCCCCGCCTCTTCCCCCCGGCGAGGGAGTCGCCAATTTTCCTCTGGTCAAACCTTGTCGGCGTTACCCCTGCACCCAACCCACTGGGGGACAGGGTTGAGACTTTGGGCCTGAGCCACGCGGGAGGGAGTCCCAATTTTCCTCTGTCCCGCCTGTCCCCAGCTGTGCTAGTTAGTTGTGCATCATTCAATTTTCCCTAGATAATTTCCACCAATCTTCTAACCGCCTCTTTGTTATTGTGATCCTCTTCTCCTCCGTCCTCCCATCGTCGCCAGCAAAGCCCAGGGCCCCGGCCAAACCCGTCACACCCTCAGGAGGGGCAGGACGAAGCCTCGTGCACCTTAAAACTAGGTGCTCAAGTGTCTCACTCTCATCACGGCATGCAGCGCATAATGTGTCTATCTCCTGAAATTTAGCCCTATACGTCTTCGTCCTCAAAACTCCCGTTCTCGCCTCGAAAAGTAAAGAACTTCCCAGCGAGTTGTCAAACACATTTTCCTTTCGTATGTCCTTTTTTTGTGACCTGTAAACCGTTAGAGTCGATTTTTCTTGCATTCTTCCCTCCCACATTTTCCTCTCTGCCTCTTTCACTCCCTTTTTCACTGAAGTAGTCTGCTCAGCCCCATCATTAGTGAGTAGGTATTTAAATGTAAGCTTTCGGGTTCGGTTTGTCCATTTTGTGTTTATGCTTTTCATGTATAAATACTTGTACACCTTACGTGCCCATCTCGTATCATCCATTTCAGTCAACCTTTGTTCAAATTTCAACTTACTGATTGCTTCCCTGCTCTCAAAAGACGACCAGCCCATGTCCCCCTGCACTCCCTCATTTGGTGTGTTTCCATGTGCTCCCAGTGCCAATCTGCCTACGCTTCTTTGCCGAATTTCTAATCCTGATTGAACCTCTGATTTCATGCAGAGCACCCCATTGCCAAAAGACAGTCCAGGTACCATCACTCCTTTCCATATACCCCTGACCACTTCATATCTATTATAGTTCCATAGTGCCTTGAGCTTCATAATAGATGAATTTCTTTTCCCTTTTCTAATTATATTCTCCTCATGTTCTTCTAGATATTTCTTTCCCTCATTGAACCAGACTCCCAGATATTTGTATTTTTCTACATGGTCTATTAAAATGTCTTGTATCCGCAGGGGTCCCCTCTTTTCATCATTAAACACCATTACTCCAGATTTGTCGCTACTAAAGCTCATGCCCAAGATGTCCCCTTCCTCTCCACACATGCCGGCTAGTTCCTGTAACATATCCTGGTTGTCTGCCATAAGTAATATGTCGTCCGCATACATCAATCCTGGTATTACCTGTCTTACCTTTCTCCCTCCTTCCATATAACTCACATCAAAACCTAAGTTGCTCTGCTCTAATTTCTTTTCCATTTCCCTGAGATATATCATGAAGATATATCTCAAGATATCATGAAGAAGGTATACAATATACAATGTTGTAAGCACAAACGGAGACGGCGGACACATATCTAAAAAAAAACAAAAAAAACCTAAAAGTTAAAAATAAAATTTTCAAAACTCAATAAAATAGATCTGGGATTATTGTAAAAAAATTGGCTGGCATAATAATGAACACTTTACATTTTATTATTTGGTTGGATTTAACACTCTATGGGATTTAACCGACCTTGGGCAAAGCATGGTCGGCATGGTCGTGGATTTCGGTTTTTCAACCGAGTCTTATCACAACTTCACAAGTCCGTAAATTCCTTGCTTGAGGGAGTGTGTAGTACATATGTACTTACATTCGTTCAAGTGGTAGACGGAGCTGAATTAATTTAGTAAGTTAAGTGAATCAAAACACAGTGAATTCGGCTTGCAACGGCGATCGCACGGGTAAGCTGCAGCATCAGATTCTTGATCACACGAGTTGATGCTTCCCTTCAGTGTCTAAAGTTACGTCGGATGAGTATACCTGGCCAGTTTCTTCGCAAATACTATTCAACGCAAAAAAAAAAAAAAAAAAAAAAAAAAAAAAAAAAACCCGGCGATTGTTTGTTTGTGTTAACATTGGACCGTCGGGAATAAGCAATCACTTGCTCTCCTTCAGGCTGAAACAATAATCTGGGTGATCGTGCTAGAAACTTGTCCAGCAGAATTTTGCCAGTCAGCCAAATCATGAAAAGAACACTAGCATGAAAGTACGAACGCATTAAAAGGAAGCAACAAATGCCGCAGTACATAGAGTCCGTTTTTGGCCTGCAAACGCATGGCTCTTGCCGTCAGGGAATCGGTTGCAGATTTGTGAAGTTGGGGTCAGAAGTCATGGTTACTTGGGCTCAAAAGGTGCTCGCACATTTTCGCGTTACGAGGAAGGAATGAAATGAGGGAACAGGAGGAAAAGGAAGGGAGGGAACATAACATAAATCTTTGTTTAAAAAAATAATAATAATTTCGTACCTTGTAAAAAAGGCGAGTTGAGCAGTTGCATCGAATATGTCCAATGGGCCAATTCGCAAAACAAGAGAAAAAGCAATGGCGTATTTTTTTAATGAATTCGGTTAATTTTGTTAACTTCAAAACTGAAGAAACGGTTGTTTAGGCTGCTGATGCACATTTTGATAAAGTCACAAGGCAGTGGGAACAGTGGCCATCATTTTGGCCTGCCTCGACTATCACCGATTCTTCAATATAAATGACCCATTTGTTGCCTTCTCTTTTCTCATTGCAGCAAAAGGAAGGGGTATGAGACTTTGATCGCACATGCTATATATTGCAAAGTACCGAGTAAGCACCTACCCAAATTTGGAGACGAGTTTGAAAGATTGGCTGCTGCACACCTGTTAGGTGCAAGAGCAAAAACGCAGAAAGAGCAGAATATAGGGTGGTGTATTTTTTTTTTTTTTTTTTATTGACAAGAAAAAGGAATTCAGAGAAATTAGCCGGGAGTCATCTCCTGACTGGCTACTCTGAGTAGGGACGGGGAATGAGGGATACAAATTAAAGTTAAAGAAAGAAATAAAGTATCACACACACACAAAAAAAAAAAAGAAGGAAGGTTAGAACTTGTGCAGTTTTAAAGTCTCTTGTCCAGGCCTGTCTCTGACAGGAACCTGATGAGGGCGTTCGTGGCTCTCCCGGCAAAAGCCTCATTTTCCCAGGGACCTAGTACCATTTTCATGGTGAGAGAAGTTCCAGGAGATAAGTTGAGATGTACGTGCAATTGAAGTCGTTCATCTTCGTAGTTAGGGCACTCTGTCATTATATGTTTTAAATCCTCAGTAATCCCACACGTGGTGCAATTTGGAGAGTCGATTTGCCTAATGCAAAATAGGTAACGTTTCGTATACGCAACTTTCAGGCGTATCCTATGAAGCACAGCCTCACGTTGCCGTTTAAGACCTGGAGGTGCTCGAAATGTTAAATGTGGGTCAATGATTCGTAGCGGTGTACTCTTGTGAGCGGCATCTTCCCAGAGACGTGAGGCGGTTCTTTTTCCGAGTGTGTTCACCACGCTTCTGATGTCCGTCCTGGTAAATGAGGCTTGCATCAGCTCAGTGGATGTTTGGGCTCGGTTTGCGACAGCATCAGCCATTTCGTTGCCCGGAATTCCACAATGGCTGGGTATCCACTGAAAGCACATCGAGTGGCCTTGACACGCCCCGTCGTAATGGAGTTGAAGTATTTGCAATAGCAGTTGCTTATAAGGGCTGTTCTTGCTTGGGCAGTCTAGGGACTGCAGCGATGATTTAGAGTCTGTTATTATCGTCCATGAACGAGGAGGCATTGCAATAATAAATCTTAACGCTTCACGAATTGCTACAAGTTCAGCAGCTGTTGAAGACATTCGATGTGAAAGCTTAAGTTATAACCATTTGTACGGGTGAGGGCGGGAATTACAATGCCAATAGAGGAGCTAGTATGAGTCGTGGATGCATCCGTGTAGATGTGACAGGAGGAGGAATGTCGTGTGTACAACACAGACAGAGGAAACTGTCGCAAGGCGACTGCAGGAAGAGTTGCCTTTTTAGGTATTCCCGGGATGGTTGTATACACTTGTAGTGGGAAGAGGAACCATGGGGGCGTGGTAGGTAGCATATATTCTTGAAACGTAGTCAGTATGCTGTCAGTATGGTCTAGAATCTGCTGTCCAATACGGCTATAAAAACACCTTTCTGGTAAGTCAGCCAGGTGATGAGCGTGATGTTTTGTTAAGTGTCGAATATGATTCCGAACAGTTCCTGGGTTCGAATGGCTATTATTGGAAGGCAGCGAGATTCAGCAATGGTGTCAATGGTGGATGTAGATTTAGGGACTCCGAGACATACTCTGAGTGCTTGTGCTTGAAGAGATTGGAGTTTTTTCAGGTTGGTAGGACTAAGTCCATGCATGACAGGAAGGCTATAGCGAAGAACTCCAACAAATAAGGCGTTGTATAAACGAAGGAGGGCCGCTGTTGAAGCACCCCAAGTTGTGCCGCTTATAAAGCGTCCTAAGGTAATAAACGCAGAGAGTCTGTTTTTGAAATGTGACAAATGGGAGCTCCACGTTAACCCTTTGTCGATATAAACTCCAAGAAATTTATTATGAGATGGAACGTATGGAATAGTAGTACCGTCAATTGATAAGGTGTAACAATCTACTTTCATTCTAGTGAATGCAATAGTAGCAGATTTTGCAGGGCATAACTCAAGGCCTCGCATGGCCAAAAACCTCGATATGTTGTGGAGAGCAGCTTGCAGGCGTAAATATATTCTCTTAGGAGACGCTGCTGACGTCCAAAGACACACGTCGTCGGCGTACAGCGAGATATGGATAGAATCCGGGATGAGTGCATGTAGACCAATGAGGGTGATATTAAATAGGACTGGACTCAAAACCCCTCCTTGCGGAACACCTTTGGTGAGAATATGGTGGCTGGTATCTCCATCACTCGTGCGGACGAAGATTGTCCTATTGTGGAGGTAGTCGGCAATCCAGTCATAAAGACGACCTCCGATACCTATTGATCTTAGGCCTTGCAGAACTGCTGAGTGCTGAACATTATCAAAGGCTCCCCGAATGTCGAGAAATACAGCCGTTGTGAGCTTGCCACGGAGCTTCTGATCATTGACATGAGCAACTAGGTCAATGACATTGTTGATAGAGCTGCGGCCTTGTCTAAACCCTGTCATTGATTCCGGATAGAGTGAGTTGGATTCGAGAAACCACTCCAGACGCGAAAGAATCATTCGTTCCAGGCATTTTCCGATACAGCTTGTAAGCGCAATAGGTCGGTAGGATTTGATATCTAAAGGAGACTTGCCGACTTTCAGGATGGGTACTACGCAAGCGGTTTTCCATTCCTGAGCGACACAGCTGGACAGCCAGGAAGCATTAAATACGTCTAAAAGATGTTGGCGGGCTTGAGGTCCAAGGTGTGCAAGTGTACCATACGTAATACCGTCTGGTCCAGGCGATGAAGAGTGATTCAAAGATGCCAGAACTTGATCGAGGTCAAATGCGCTAAACATATTATCCATCGCTTTTGAAGTATGATCAGCAACCTCTTCAAAGCTCACACTTGTTGGGTCGATAGTATTCACTGTTGATGGGCCTACAAGTGAAGCACAGAAATCCTCGGCAATTGCAAGAGCTGGCCTTCGTAAGAAGATTGAGAGAGCATTAAATGGTGTTCTCTGCTGTGGTGCAGATCGTAACCCTCACGCTATATGCCACATAAGTGACAAGGAGGCACGTGGGTCAAAAGAAGCGCAAGTGCGTCTCCACTTTTTCTTGGAAAGTTTGTTAAGATGACGGCGCATGTGCTTTTGAGTTCTTCTATCATTGCGGATATCAGCAGGTAATTTTGTACGCCTTGCACGCCTCTCTGTGCGTCGGCGGATTGCCCGCAGTCGCTCATATTCTGCGTCCACCGTGGTGCGGGAGGGCGAAAGGTGAACAGCTTTCGTTGCTTCCTTTGCTGACAGTTGGATGGCAGATATAAACTCATGATAGGTACCAGTGGTTTGGAGGCGCACTTCTACATCATCTTTAAACTTTTTCCAGTCGGTGTATAATACAGAATGAGGCTTGGTGTTGACTTGGAAACCAGAAATTGTGGTGTAGGTTGGTATGTGGTCACTGCCATGGCACTCGACATGTACGAACCAGGAGCTCCGTGAGACAATTTCGCGTGACACGAAGGCGACGTCTAAGCAACTACTGCTACGGGTGCCTCGAACAAAAGTCGGTGGCCCATCAATTAAAACACAAAGGTCATGATCGTATGCCAGATCAAGCAGCTCTCTTCCACGACGCGTAGTTTTTGCGCTCCCCCAGGCCGCGTTATGAGCGTTAAAGTCTCCTGTCAATAAAATTGGCCCTGGGCACTGTCTAATAATAGCATCCAATCTAGAAACGTCAAACACGCAGGACAGGGCTACATATGAAGCAATTATGGTGAATGAAACTTTCCCCCTACGAACAGTTACAGAGACGTATTTATTATTCGGGTGTGATGGGACATCATGGTGAACATAAGTGAGGTCTTTCCGAAGAGCTAGAAATAACCGACTAATGCCAGAATCCCGAGCCGACTGAAACACTTCGTATCCGGACAGGCGGAAATCTGCGGCTACACGTGATTCACAGATGGCTAGGATCGGGAACCGGTACTTGAATACAAACTGCCTGAAGTCTGAAAGACGTGAAGGTAACCCTCTCGCATTCCACTGAAATACTGTGGCTTGTTTTACATCATCTTCAAAAGAAGAGGCATTAGCCATTAGACTGATGCATGCTGGTGATCATTGTTACAATTGCAGGTTTAAAGACCATAATTCCCTCGAGGATGCTCTTAAAGGTGCAGGATGGCAGCTTGGAAGTAAAACTTTCAAGGACAGAGAAGATAAGAC